TGCTTGCCGTAAAAGGCGACTATGCTTGGCGTAAAAGGCGACTAACGGGATCGGGTGGTCAGGTTCGCTGACTTGGTTGATGCATGTCATCGATCCCGATTGCGTGGCTCGATACTCATGGTGTCAATCATTGGATTGTCTGGTCCAGACTCGATTATTTACAGACCGCCGTCATATAGCTGGAATATTGCGGCGTTCAACAACAAACAAACAAACAAACAAACCACACTGCGGCAATAGTTGTACAACCCTATGCCACAACGCATATTTCGAAATACTGTAAACTACGGTTATAACGAACTCACAGGGATCACTAATTTTATTTGTTATAACCGTAGTTCGTGATATGAATATATGCATCATATATAGCACATGGTCGGGACCAAAAAAGTAAGTTCGTTATATCCGTCAGTTCGTTTTAAGCGTGTTCGTTTTGAACGTAGTTTACTGTACCCTCGTGTGTGAAAACAGATTGTACAACCCTATATCACAATGCTTATCTCGAAATACTCTCTTGCATATAAAATAATCAAAAGGGTGTGCAACTCTATACCACAACGCCTATCTCGAAATACTCTCTTGCATATAAAATAATCAACAGGCTGTACAACTCTATACCACACCGCCTATCTCGAAATACTCTCTTGCAAATAAAATAGTCAATAGGCTGTACAACTCTATACCACAAAACCTATCTCGAAATACTCTCTTGCATATAAAATAGTCAATAGGCTGTACAACTCTATACCACAACGCCTATCTCGAAATACTCTCTTGCATATAAAATAGTCAATAGGCTGTACAACTCTATACCACACCGCCTATCTCGAAATACTCTCTTGCAAATAAAATAGTCAATAGGCTGTACAACTCTATACCACAAAACCTATCTCGAAATACTCTCTTGTATATAAAATAGTCAATAGGCTGTACAACTCCTTACCACAACGCCTATCTCGAAAAAATCTCTTGCATATAAAAAAATCAATAGGCTGTACAACTAGTCAACAGGTTGTACAAACCCTACCACCACAAAAAAACCTCTAATATTAAAAAAATATAATCAACCCTAGAGCTATACCACTTCATCTTAATAGACTCTTTGACATACACATTAAATGACCCATAGGTTGAAAAATACTATCACACTTCATCAATCGAAATACTTACCAAACGACTAACCCTCGGCATAATTGCATAACCCCATACATATGCTCTAATCTCGAAATAATATTTAACACCCACACTTTGTTGGACTGTGTTCAACAAAATACCATTTCGTTTATCTCGAAACGCCTTTCCCGAAATTAAAAAAACAACTACAAAATACAATCAGTAGCAGCCAACAACACTACCTATACCACTTCGTCACACTGACGGTACTCTTTAACAACCAAACCATCCAGCGGGTTGCATTTAGGTTATGCAATAGTATCCATATCAATTCTCCTAGCTGAAAATACCACCAACCAACCAGCGGTGTAGATTTACGTCTTGCAACGTATACCTATTTGTCTTACTGGCAATACAGGGGGCACGGGTGGTCCTTTAAGGCGCCGCGATTCGCTGTGCAGAGTTGCGTCCCTTTGGCACGCCAGAAAACTATGATCGTGGGTTCGAATCCCGGTTCGCCCCGATTATGTTTCTAGGTTTGTCAGCACCATACCCGTGCTCGTGGGTTTCACCGAAGAGGTAAACGTCTGAGACCTGCATCACTTCGGGCTTTCCTCCAACATTAAGCTGACACACCGTGGTAAGGCTGGAATACTGCTAAAAGCGGCGTTAAGCCCAACTCACTCACTCTCACTTACTGACAATACTCTCTATAACCTTGCCACTTGTAATAGAATAAAGAATATCGCAATGACCTATTAATGAACTACAGCCTTTCGCAGTCACCTGTCGATTCCTATCCGGATTGTAACCACGTGTTCAAAACTCAACGACGATGTTAATTGCTAAGAAAATGGACATTTCTTAAAAAGCGCACTTTTCAGTTTTTAACATTACTGAAGTGATATTCCTTACCGGCAGAATGGCTTTTTTACTTTATAAGTATCAGCACTCGTGCAGCTGTCTTCGTTAATTCTTGCGGTATTTCAAGTGGCAAGGAGTATATCCCTCTACACCACTTCGTCCATGTCGCAAATCAAAACAAATCAACGCTCTTCGATTCGCACTCTCTCAAACCTAGAAACTCTCTTACTCAACCAACATCTGTAGCATTACTGTAGTACCGGAATCATTAATACCACCTGTTTTGTGCTTCAGCTGCAGGTCTTTAATAGACAGAGTTGCCTCCCTTGTATTAGTTATCATTGTCTGTCCTGAATGCACGTGATTACATTATGCAGATGCAAGGCAATAGCTGCAAACACTAAAAAAAGAGTAATTTTAACATAAATGGCATTGAAATTGGTTGTAGATTGAAATGAAGTTCATGAAAAGCATTTGAATAATTATAGATAGATAGATAGATAGATAGATAGATAGATATATAGATAGATAGATAGATAGATAGATAGATAGATAGATAGATAGATAGATGATATGATTTTTTGTAATGAAATTTTTGGTCTGTAGTTAACGAATGTTACAGGCAATGCATGAATAGAGGTACAGTAAACTACGGTTATAACGATCTCAAAGGGACCACTAACTTTATTTCGTTATAACCGCAGTTCGTTAAAAGCATATACATTTATACAGCAAACAGCAAACAGACGGGATAAAAAAGTAAGTTCGTTAAAAGCGTGTTCGATATAAGCGTAATTTAGTGTATTTGTGTAATTTGTGCAATCAAATAGTTCATCAAAAAGATATTCGTAAAATAATCCAAAGTTTAATTTATTTGAATTGTTTATTAATGTCAGAATGTTCCACAATATTTTATGATTATTCACATCGTCAGGAATTAAAACGAAAAATATCAATCGACATAGAGTACATTAATATCATAGAACCTAGTTTCATCTAGTTAAAGGGAATTGTGAAAAATATGTGGGTTGACAAAGCCCTGGAAAATTCGTGCAGTAGTACTTGAACATTCAAAACTGAATAGGCTTCAATATTGACAGGGTGAGTGAGAGAGTTGGGTTTAACGCCGCTTTTAACAGTATTCCAGTTATATCGCGGCGTGTCAGCTTAATGTGGGAGGAAAACCTGAAGTGATGCAGGTCTCAGACGTTTACCACTTCAGTGAAACCCACGAGCACGGGTATGGTGCTGACAACCCACGATCGAACCCACGATCATAGGTTTCTGGCGTGCCCAAGGGACGCAACTCTGCACAGCGAATCGCTGTGCCTTATACGACTGGGCCATCCGTGCCCCCAATATTGACAGAGACTACCAGCCGTGGTGTAATTGATGTACATACATGTATGTCATATTTTGTTAATAAAATGCTCAGTTTAGTGAATCTGTTTGTGTCGGTATGTCTTTGCATGATTGTTTTTGAGTTGAGATGGAAAAATGATGATTGAAAACAACTCTCTCGTGGATTTTATGATGCCTTTGTAGAAATAAAATATCACGCTAAAATGCAATAAGATGCGTGAAGATCCTGGTAGAGAATATGTCTTCAGCAACCTTTGCTTGTTGTAAGAGGCGACAAACGGGATCGGGTGGTCAGGCTCGTTGACTTGGTTGATGCATGGCATCGTATCGCAGTTGCGTAGATCGATGCTCATGATGTCAATCACTTGGTGTTCTGGTCGAGACTCGATTATTTTCAGACCGCCGTCACATTGCTGGAATATTGTTGAGCGCCGCGTTAAACAACAAAGAAACAAAAAAAAAGTCAACAACAACATCAACAATAGCATGATGAACAGCATCAACCAGTGTGTCAACACAGTATACCCAGGACAAAATACCACGAATACCACCCTAATTAATCAACTGGAAAACATTGGCCCAAAGTTGGTACAAAGTTGGACTGATGTCATGTTGCCAACATTGAACCAACGATTAAGCACTGTGGACAGATTATATTGGATCAGTTTTTTGTTTTGTTTGTTTGTTTGATGTTAAACGCCACACTCTAGCAATATTCCAGCTATATGACGGCGGTCTGTAAATAATCGAGTCTGGACTAGACAATCCAGTGATTAATTTCATGAGCATCGATCCACGCAATTGGGATCGATGACATGCATCAACCAAGTCAGCAAGCCTGACCACCCGATCCCGTTAGTCGCCCTTTACGCCAAGCATAGTCGCCTTTTACGGCCAGCATGGGTTGCTGAAGACCTATTCTACCCCGGATCTTCACGGGTCTCATTGGATCAGTATCATCTGTCATCACAGTATCATCTGCCAACATTGGACAACGTTAAGCGTGACATTGGGGCAACATTGATCCAATATCATTGCTGGGAGGAGGTTAGGTTTGGGGACCTGGTTGATTGGGTTTGATCTTACCCTAGTGGCGTGGTGCTTTGCTCATAACATCAATCATCTGTTATCTGGTCCAGACTCGATTATTTGCATGCCGCCGTCATTTAGGTGGAATATTGCCGAGTTCAATGTTACACAGCAAATGTAGATTAAACCGATTAATCTATTACCCTTCTCTTCAACATGCATGATTTGGGGCGGTCGGGTAGCCTAGTGGTTAAAGCGTTCGCTCGTCACGCCTAAGACCCGGGTTCGATTCCCGATATGGGTACAATGTGTGAAGCCCATTTCTGGTGTCCCCCGCCGTGATATTGCTGGCATATTGCTAAAAGCGGCGTAAAATCATACTCACTCACTCACATGCATGATTTGTTTCTAATGTGAAAATCATTTAAGATAAAGGTAATACATTGCTTAACCACACGACTGATACGTTTACTCAGGAGATAAGCTAAAGCACACGGGAGATACCTGTTGACACGTTAAATACGCGCCAGATGGGAATCTACAACAGAACAGTCGACCTTTCACAAAGGTGAGGTTTTGAATACGGGCCAATATCCAACACAGCAGATGCAAGTCTGATGTACTATGGCACTAGCATCTTGTGCTATATATACTAAGCTTGTTCTGCACGTTAACCATTTACGTAATAACGGGGAGGGGGTATTCTTAGCCGCGGGTACAACGAGGATCTGGGAGCACAATATTTGACACACAAGCTTCTGAGAGGACATTCACATCGGTGAAGGTGACGGTGTGTCCCATGTGATAATTCGCCCGGGGGTGCGGCGTGGGGATATGGACCACGATACGAGGGTAAGGCATGCAATAATTGTATCATTATCGGGTTCAAGGAGAAACGATTGGGTACTTTAGTGCCAACTTGCCATTTTTATGCTAAAAGCAGATACCGTTGCTTTAGTCGTTATTTACCAATAAAAGTCATAACTGTAAACATATTATCCTTTAATAGTTTTCTTACACTATTTTAAATCTGATTTAAATGAAGCGTGGTCTCATAATAGATTAAATGATCAGCTTCCATTGTTATCACAGGCGTTGATAACACCTGCTAGATATGTGTATGATTAATGTACACATGATATGAAAATTACTTTCTACGAGTATATGTCCTAAGTATTTGTTAATTGCATCTTTTAAATGCCCTGAAAAATATTACGCAGTTAAATCATTGAGTGATCTGTTGCCGCCCTGGTTTTACAATGAAAAAATATAATAGTAATATTCATATATTAATTCTTGTTGTATATGTCACTATAATATTTCATACCACTAAGACAATGTAAATATGAGATATATTCAATACCACCAATATATTCTTTCACCTGGCCACAGTGGGTGTACAATTACACAAAAATAGGAAGTTTTGTTTCAAAATACACCGAACAAACGCATTCAATGTTGAAAGCAATATTTGAAAGTGTTGCTGCTGCAATGCAAGATATTGTTTCCTTTAAGTCTCCATATCATAGCTTTGGCAGTGGCGAACATTCCGCCTGCAAGGTTATTACAGTGGTTGTACGGCCATGGTTGTACGACTGTAGAACAGCATGCCTGATAGCCTGCCCACAGTCTAACCGCAGCAGGATGTCGACAATGATGCATGAGTTGGCCATGTGTGCGAACGCGTGGGATGTTTACCGGTGTGATTCTACAAGGAGATGAAAGCAGAGACCATATAATTATATGGTCTCTGATGAAAGGGTGACTTTAAAAATATTTCATTTATAATCGTGTGGATTTTGGGGGAAGGCCCGAGTGAAGAAGACCTTTATCTTCCCGAGGCAAACGTGTCCACTAGCCAATATCAAAGTCTGATTCAAACTAGGCTTTGGAAAAGGCTAGTGGACAATCTTGCCTCTCGAAGATGGAAGGCCTTAGACGTTTACCACTTTTGTTAAAACACGTAAGCACCGACATAGTGCTGACAGTGTCATGGCAATACGCCACAACCATTAAAACCATGCTATTAACAATAGAAGCGACTTTGCTTCTCGTAAGAGGCAACTAACGGGATCGTGTGGTCAGGCTCGCTGACTTGGTTGATGCATGTCATCGTATCCCAATTGCGAGGATCGATGCTGGATTGTCCAGACTCGATTATTTACAGACCGCCGCCCTGTAGCTGGAATCTTGCTCTAGAATCTGGAGTGCGGCGTTAAACAACAAACAAACAAACAAACAACATCAAAAGAGGATAAACATACCGTGGTTTGTGTTGAAAAGTGCTAAAACTAACGCGCTGTTGAAAGTTTCAAATGTTACATGTTGTGCCGATCTTGCAGGAAGTATGTTTATTGCTATGGAAACATGAAGTACACCAAACGTCATGTTACACATTTCTATACCAGACCACTCCAGCCTCTCCCCCACTCTACAATATATATATACACCTGACATATCATCCTGTTTGATGTAAACAAACACTCGCTATCAATGCGCAGCACACACACTCACAGTGTTATTTATATATATATTCACAAGTGTATGTCATAAAGTAGTCCTGTTATCTCTGACAGGCTTAGCGTTGAGAAGATATGAACAATGTACGTTGCGAACCTGATATTGATAGCTGTTATCAGTTGTTATAATTATCGGAAACACGTTAAGCTGGACTATCTAGCTACTGGCATCTTCAGTTTGGTGTGTGTGTGTGTGTGTGTGTGTGTGTGTGTGTGTGTGTGTGGTGCTAGCCAACCGAGATACCATGCCGCCATACTAGGTCAGGCTCGCTGACTTGGTTGATGCATGTCATCGTATCCCAATTGCGTGGATCGATGGTCACGATGTCAATCACTGGATTGTCTGGTCCTGACTCGATTATTTACAGACCGTTTATTCGTATAGCTGGAATATTGCTGAGTGCGGCGTTAAACAACAAACAAACGAACAAACAAGCAAACATTCCCAATAACGAATAAGTAATTATTTCTTCGGACTCGACGTCTGTGTTCTGCCTTTGAAGGTGAGCAAGTGCCTGTCACTCTGATTGGTTATCATAACTTTCCCAAACCGGAAGTATGTCAAGTCTTGTCCCCTACAGTGGTACTGCTGAAATTGGCTTGTGATCATACTCGATGTAGCTCAATTCCTATGAAGTTCCAATCAAAATATAGTCTCGAAAATACATTTGTGAAGGAGCGAGGGAATTAATGTTATTTAACTCCACAGTCAGTAATACCCCAGCTAAATCTCTGTAACCTGAAAAAAACCTCAGACCACACAAACCTATGATTGGTACGGTCGAACCCCGTTGTGTCAAACATGGATGTGTCGAATGCCCAGTTGTCTCGAACTCATTTGGGATTCCCAAGAATCCAAATTAAGCATAACATTTTCCTGATGTCTCGAACCCCGGATAGCTCGAACTTTTTTCAGGTAGCCACGAGTTCGTTTGGCGTTTAACGCCGCACTCAGCAATATTCCAGCTATGTGGCAGCGGTCTGTAAATAGACCACCTCTATGGTCTAGTGGTAGAGTGTCTGTAAATAGACCGCCTCCGTGGTCTAGTGGTAGTGTGTCCGCCCGGAGAGCGGAAGGTCCTGGGTTCATTCCCCGGCCACGTCTGACCAACAGACGTTAAAAGATAGTATTTGTTGTTACCCTTCCTGGCGCTCGGCATTAGGGGATAAAACAAGGACTGGTCGGCTCGGAACAGTATACAGTGTCTGAGTGGGGTATTCATGTTAAACTGCTGCATGGTATCTCAGTGGGCTAGCACTATAAATCGGCATTAATCCGGACTAGTGCAAGTAGCCACACATACCCACGCACGCACGCACGCACGCACGCACGCACGCACGCACACGTGCATGCACGTCGCTATATAAGTGCAATAATCTTGGACGCGACGTTAAACCCCATTGCACCTCCCCCCACCTCAATGTAGAGGTATGTTACTTGCGAATTTAACGGTACTATATTGAATTTGGAACCGAACCTGCAGGGTTTGTTCATTGCCATTACATTTATTATTGTATTAAACATTATTGTAATACTATTATTAGCGAAGCCAATTATTGAGATGAGATGACATGAAATGAAATAAAACGTCGCCTTCAAAATTATTGCACCTATGTAGCGACGTGTATTTATGTGTGTGTGGCTGCTTGCACTGGTCTGGCTTATGTGGGTTTTATAGTGCTAGCCCACTGAGCTGGATATACTATATATCATTTCCACATGGACCACCGACTTTCCATTCTCCGGGCGCTCTATCCACTAGGCCAAGGAGAAGGTGTTTGATATGGTACAGGTAGCGGAGCAGCTACAGTAATACTTTACTATCGTTATCATGACTCCAGAGCTACAGAAATACTCTCTACTTTGCACTCCATATATAGTACACTCTCGAACCCCAAAACCAACCTGCGCATAGGTTGCACCACGCTACACCTCTTCACCGGTTCACATCGAAATACTCTCAAAGATTAAGATAACCCATAGCTTGCATAACGCTACAGCTATCTCCAAATACTCTGTAATATATAGATAACCAATAGGTTTCACAACTCCTTATCCCTTCACATATCTAAAAATACTCTCTATCCCCTTTATATCACGCTTCTATTATATATGATGCCAAACCTTTCAATAGAGTGAGTGTGTTTGGTTTTACGCGGTTTTAGCAGTATTTCTTCACTATCACGGCGAGGGACACAGTAAATCTGATTCACACATTGTACCCATGTGGGGAAGCGAACCTGAGTCTTTGGCGTGACGAGCGAACGCTTTATCAACTTGGCTACGCCACCGCCCACTTCAATATATATGTCATAACATCAAGAATATCAAGAGCCAACTAAATCTACTCTCGCAGAACACAATTTTGTTGTTTAATGGTCTGTCTGTGTTTCAGTTCGTGAACACATTGTAAATAAAAAAAAACAGCCTTACAAATTTAATTTATTCAAGTTATCATATTCCAACTCAATCAATTAAACATATTCAAAATAGTCAGAAGATGCATTGTATATCATTCATTACATATGTTGATGATATAACACACAAAATGTTTACAAGATATTCACTTCCTAGCCAATAGGTATAAGTATTCTGCCGTACATAATTTACCTTTTTCAGACCAACACCTGTCCAGAAAACAACGCGTCATGGCTTTCAAGAATCTTCTTTACCTGGCCAAGCAGGTAATGTATAGAACCAAAACTCAGCTATAGAATTTCAAGGTTCCATTTGTCCTGAATATAAAGTTTAGATGGCCTATATATTAATAAAAAATTATTGTAATTGAAGCAGACAAAAGTGATCACTGCACACACGTCTTTAAAGGATATGCTGATTTAAAAAAACAACGTTTTACAGAAAGAAATAGCAGTGCACCCCCCCAACACAAACACCCTTTGTTCCTCTGTCTGTCTCTCTCATTCTGTCTGTATGTCTCTCTCTTTATATGAGTGTCTGTCTGTGTCTGTCTGACTGTCTAACTGTCTGAACCAGTCTGTCCGTCTCAGCCCCCCCCCCCCCCCCCCCCTCTCTCTCTCTCTCTCTCTTCCATGCTCATCCTTACCAGGAATATTAAATGATCGGTACCTCAGAGAATACAGTTCAATTGCATACAACGTGCACTGCTTCAAACAGCAAAGAATGGACCGCGCCATGTTTCAGTTGTCTCCCTTTGTCTACTATGTAATTCCTTTGTTCTGTCAGTCTGCTAGAACTTGGCAGTAAGAAGATTCTGAGCAATGAGGATATCCCCGACCTGTGTCCCCCCTGCACGTGCAAGACCACCTACCCCCGGTTTGAGAAGGAATGGGAGAAAGAACTTCATGCGTCAAGGTAAGGGCCATCTGTATACTCCCACCCGAAAGGTGCAGAATATCTCTGTTTTATTGTGGGACTTCATAAGACCTAGTTTCCCAAATGTCTTGTTAAAATACCCCAATGTTGTCAGGTTGATGTCATTGCCGTGCCAATAAGTATAAAAAATATCATCCCATTTGCTTCTTTTAATGACGTATATACATTGTATGTACGTGTATATATCTTTCCATATCATGCTACAAAAAATCTGATTACTTAATGTTTTAATATGAATACTGATTTCCCCCATCTCTGCACAGCGATACATGGTCCCTTACTGAAAGCATACGAACACCTCTGAAGTGCTGAGGTGACACATTCCCGTCATACACTTCATAAAATCTAGCTAATCATGGTCCCTTACTGAAAGCAAACGAACACCTCTGAATTGCTGAGGTGACACATTCCCGTCATACACTTCATAAAATCTAGCTAATCATGGCCCCTTACTGAAAGGATAATTACGAACACCTCTGAAGTGCAGAGGTGACACATTTCCGTCTTACACTTCATAAAATCTTTCTAATCTTAAATCTATTTTAATAGTCCAGACGCCGCTTTGTAACTTGTAAAAGTCGGCTGATCGGCCTGAACGAATACATGCGTTTGATACAACGACGATTACTTGCCATCGTCACATCACAATTTACCCTGTTCTCACTTTAAGTTGCTTTAATAAGAGTCCACAGGCGGTGACAAAGGTTTAACCAGAAAAGATTTGTAAATAAGACCCCGCAATCATAAAATCCGTTACCCGTGCCAATATCGGGATATAAAATTATGGAAATTTACCAGCTGAATGCATACCACGATACCCTTTCAATTGAGGAAGTGTTTAAAAATCATTCATTATATCTCTATTGTTATTTTGTTAACGCAATGTATGGTATTATGATGAAACTCCGATATCCAGGTATTATGACGCTGTGAACACCACACAAGTCTCAAACGGCCACGTCTACCACGAAAAATCCCCGCCCGACAACGGACCTCGATCCTCTTCTAACCACACCGCGTCGCTAGTATGGGCTTTACTGAGAACCTTTAGGTGGCGATTCACCGCCATCCAGTTCCTTCACTTGCTCTGTTTTTCCTTACTATGGATAGCCCCGATACATCTCAGGTACCGTGTCTGTCTGGCTATTTTACACCAGCAATTGGTGGTGTGTAACTGTTTTGACTTACTTCTGAACATTCTTTATTTGTCATCCCCACAGATTATACACTAGTGTAATTATGCTGTATGAAACCTTGTCTCAACAAACACACATTTCCGAATCCTCAGTACCTATATGTCTTCTATCAATTTAATAATAATAATGTTAAGTTCATACATATATTTCGGTTGAATAATTGGGCCTTTAATGTCAAACATGACGCCTATGTTCATATGTTCATCATCATGGTAAATGCCTTTCTTCAGGACATTAATCTCCTACGTTGAAAAGCCCTGGGGTGGGGCGTGGCAGGGCGGAGTTCTGGTGGCCTCTCTGTTCCTCATTCAGGTTTTGGACAGCATCTTCTACCAACAGTTTATCTATATGAGGAACAAGCTGGAAATATCAACGCAGAATATACTAATGGCAGCCATATTTAAAAAGGTATATATCAATTTAGTTGTATTTAAAATAACCGGAGGGCCTAGTCTTCTAAGACGCCATGATCTTTTAACCGTGCCGAGGTTCTTTGATCATGGGTGTGAATCCCAGAATCTCCTTGATTAATCCTTGGTTTGTCAGTATCATCACTTTTATTCGTGAGAGAATATAGAAGATTTAAATTTCACAAATTGACAGTTGTATTCACATCAAACACAGATATGTCACTCTCCTGTGCTTTAAATCCTTCACCGTGTGTTTGCGTTCTGTTATTATTCTGTTTTTCTTAGTGAACAACTTACAGTCGCTCGTAACCCGAGCCATGCGTTTTCTTACCAAGGGAGCTAACTCCCAAACACTCCCAGGGAGTACCACAAAATATAATTGCTACCCTCCTGAAACTATCGCTAAAACTACAGAACAACCTTGCTCATGGGTTTCATCATCGGTATAAACATCTGAGACCTACATATCTCCCGCATTTCGTGATATAACTGGAATGGTGTATATAGCGGCGTTACACCAGATTCACTCACTTTAAATTTACTGATCGGACAAGATGTGCTGATTGCCAAAGCGTTAAATGCATTTTTAATGAATGCTTCAACAAACACACTACACCAATCTATACTATGTAAGAATATTAAATTTTGAGCATTAGATACCGTATTCGACGTAATAAGCACCCAGAGCGCTCTCAAATTTAGAAATAGGGGGCTCTTATTAGAATATTATTTTGGTGGACAAAACAGAGTTGAAAGATAAATTTCGTGGTTTATGCTGACAGCCTGAAATGTTTATATACGACAGATATATTTCTCTAGAATCTAATTGCCCATAATTAAGGGTGCATATAACACACTAGTGCGTATTATACACGAATAAATGAGTCTTGTGTACATTGATCAATCGGAAGGGGTGCTAATTGGGATTGTTCACTAGCCAATATGTTATTATCCCCATGGGCGCTTATTAGAGCGGGGCGCTTATTACGTCGAATACGGTAAATCACCTCTCAAATCGGGACATACGTGTGGTTCTTGGGTATTGAAAGGGTCATGAAATATAATTGGTTCGGTAGTTTTAAATAATACTGATCCTGGTGACAACATGTGACCTCGCAATATCTGAGGAAAACTCCATTTGTATACTTTGATCCTCTTCAGTGGTGATGAACTGAATATTTTTGTTGCATCTTTCAGTCCCTCCGTCTGTCTTCTGCGGGAAGGAAGAATTACCCAATAGGAAAGATGTTGACTCTGGTTTCCACGGACGCTGCTGAGGCTGGCCTCGCCTTCAACTACGTCTCCTTCTCCTTCCTCAGTCCGCTCAACATCGTCGTGGTGTTTGTGCAGCTGTTCCTCCTGTTAGGCCCCGCGTCCGCCCTGTCCCTGTTGGGGAGTCTTGTTCTAGTCATCACCCACATCCAGATAGCAGGGGCCATGCAGAAACTTCTAAAGAGTCGCATGGAGAAACAGGATAGCCGTATGAAGCTGCTGACAGAGGTGCTGACGGGGATAAAGGTGGGATAGAGGCCCTTCTCCAAATGGTTAAAGTAAAATTATTAAACAATAACAAAAATTCCTGCCAATGCAAAAGTAATAATGATTTTATTGTTGACCATTCAGTGACCTCACACAAAGAATGGTGCTACAAGTTTTCCTTGGTGACGCCACGTTCAAATGGTTAAATCTGGACATGGGTTAAATACAAAAGACGTTTCCCTGCACCTACAGTAAACTACGGTTATAACTACTAGATTTTAGTTCGTTATAACAATAGTTCGTCATAAGCACATGTACAGCATATGGACGGGATTAAAAAACAGTTCGTTGTATCGGCAAGTTCGCTATAAACGTAGTTTACTGTCTTTATAAAATGTGGGAAATAATGAACTTATGGCATAATTGATGTAACGAAATTGTGGTAAAACCACTAATATTCATGTAAATACTCGTCTGACATGACACAATGTGTAAACCTTTAGCTGTCAATTGATGAACAGGGCGAAGAACCACATTGTTGTGTTGCTATAGGTGTTTGACTTTTCCCTATTTTCTTTGGACTCTGTCCTCTTACCTTTTATTGTCAATACTCGTCTGACATGACACAATGTGTAACCCTTTAGCTGTCAATTGATGAACAGGGCGAAGAACCACATTGTAGTGTTGATATAGGTGTTTGACCTTTCCCTATTTTCTTTGGACTCTGTCCTCTTACCTTTTATTGTCAAACCAGTTGTTTTAAGGTATCGCGTGGTTTGGAATCAGCAATTTCAATCGTTGATAAAGATAATGACGGTTTCACATCTTGATTATTTGCTGTCGTTGTTTCACTATGGTAACTTCTTTGGAATACAATGAGGACGTTTACTTTTATTGTATACTTTTGAATTGTTTCCTTCAGGCTATAAAGCTGCATGCCTGGGAGGTGTGTTTCGGTGGCCGTGTAACAGACAGGAGGGACAAGGAACTGCAAGTTTTGTCGGACGTGTTTCTGTGGAAGATTCCCTTATTGCTCTCCACTACTGTAGCTCCGTTCATGGTTAGTACAGTTGTTGTAGCAGGTGTTCATCAGTCTGTTGTATACGCCTTATATGTATAGCAGAGAAGTGGCACTGGGACACTGCGATCTGTTCAGTCATTTTCAGTTCCAGTGTACAATTGGCTATTTTCGAAAATAAATATTTTTATTATATTATTCAAAATATCTAATCAACAATATTTATATATACCTTACATACAATACAAAACAACAAAATGTTCAAATCCTTTGTGGTATATAGTGAACATATGCATTTTTCGCGTTATAATTATTGCCTGGATTTAAATTGCATTTTCGCACAAAGCCGTTCATATTATGATCTATAGAATATTGAACCACCAATATCAATGTAGTCTAGTTATTTACTTTCCATGAACTAACACAATTGTGGACCCAACAGTATTTACTCTACCGCTCATTCTTTTCCCCACATATCGTTCACCAAATTGGTCGTCGCGTACATAACTCTTTCAAAAACATTTTGATTCTTTTACTTCTGGCTTGGGGAGTGATGATCTTAATTTCTGTTTGATTTCTCACTGATCGTTTCTAAACCATCATAACATGACGGAAATTGATCTGAATTGATATCAGGATAATAGGAAGTAAGGATAATGTTTGGTGGCAAAGCTTGTTGGAAGGGTTAAATAAATTTACTATTCCTCAATGATTGAAGTTGAAAGCTTTGATCAAGGAATACAGAGAATACAAGTATATTTATTAACCTATTGTGATTTCAAATCATGATTTTTCTAAAGCTTTTATTCATATCACTTTAAAAAAGACAATTTAAGCAAAAATGAAAGTTTAATTAACTATACAATTCATGAAACATATTTCGTGACATGTTTTGTATTTTACGTTCAGTGACAGTTTCATGGAAATTAATCTATATCCTATCCATTCCGTAGATATTTCTGATAATTCTTCAATGTTTGCGATTATTATATCGACGTATTCCGAAAAACACACATACATTACAACCGAAATAATGACCATAAATGAAAGTACTCACACATTATTGACAACTGAAAATCGAAAAATCGAATTTTCCATAATGACCATCCTAACAAACTGCTGACTTGCGGTGAAGACGTCTGTTTAAGCATGGGGTCTATAACCAACATGTCACTGCTGACTTACGGTGAAGGCGTCTGTTCAAGCATGTGGTCAACAACCAACACGCATTGCTGACTTGCGGTGAAGACGTCTGTTCAAGCATGTGGTCTATAACCAACATGACACTGCTGACTTGCGGTGAAGACGTCTGTTCAAGCATGTGGTCTATAACCAACATGTCATTGCTGACTTGCGGTGAAGACTTCTGTTCAAGCATGGCGTCTATAACCAGCGTGTCACTGCTGACTTGCGGTGAAGACGTCTGTTCAAGCATGTGCTCTATAACTAACGTGTCACTGCTGACTTGCGGTGAACACGTCTGTTCAAGCATGTGGTCTATAACAAACATGACACTGCTGACTTGCGGTGAAGACGTCTGTTCAAGCATGTGGTCTATAACAAACGTGTCACTGCTGACTTGCGGTGAAGACGTCTGTTCAAGCATGTGGTCTATAACAAACATGTCACTGCTGACTTGCGGTGAACACGTCTGTTCAAGCATGTGGTCAACAACCAACACGCACTGCTGACTTGCGGTGAAGACGTCTGTTCAAGCATGTGGTCTATAACAAACGTGTCACTGCTGACTTGCAGTGAAGACGTCTGTTCAAGCATGTGGTCTATAACAAACATGTCACTGCTGACTTACGTTGAAGGCGTCTATTCAAGCATGTGGTCAACAACCAACACGCACTGCTGACTTGCGGTGAAGACGTCTGTTCAAGCATGTGGTCTATAACAAACGTGTCACTGCTGACTTGCGGTGAAAACGTCTGTTCAAGCATGTGGTCTATAACAAACATGTCACTGCTGACTTGCGGTGAAGGCGTCTATTCAAGCATGTGGTCAACAACCAACACGCACTGCTGACTTGCGGTGAAGACGTCTGTTCAAGCATGTGGTCTATAACCAACATGACACTGCTGACTTGCGGTGAAGACGTCTGTTCAAGCATGTGGTCTATAACAAACATGTCACTGCTGACTTGCGGTGAAGACGTCTGTTCAAGCATGTGGTCTTGTAGCATCTCTGTGGTATACTTACAGATTGTCAAATATGACATAAACGTAAATTACAAAATGAAAATTATATTGGTCTTTTTCTGAAATTTCATGATAAAAGAGAACGAAGCGAGCAAAACTGGTTTGTACCAGATGCTCTAGTACAGTTTGTATGTGCAATAGTTGGGTTGTGCCGCTGGTAATTGAGAGCGTCTCGTATGATTACACCACTGATTTTCAGTGGTCCATTCATATATTTTTCGCAGCTATTTTGACGTTCACGCCGAGACGGCTGATTCTCATGCATTGACACTGATATTTATACTGTGATGCTTGCTACAAAGCTTCTATTGTGACGGTAAATGTTGTATTGGCAGAATATTATCACCAATTCGACGTAAATTTCACGTATAGTTTAGACACATTTTGAACGACGACACAGATTATTGTTCAATATGTTTGAAATTGAGTGGATAGGCTGTGTGAATAGGCTGTGTGGATAGGTTCTGGTTGGCAGACATATCTTCATAAAGCTCACATTTGAAAGAATTTTCTCAGTACTACCATATAAAGTGATTTCGCTATAGTGAGTCAAATATGAGCGAGAGCAATTGTGCATTTTAACTGAGAATCTGTTATACCGCGCAGCCAACAGCCAGAATCCCCTGGCTGTGAGTTCGAATCACACATTCGTCACGATTATGATCCTTGGTCAGCCAGCGAGCACTTTACTTAAACCAACATTACCAACGTAGGATCTTTTATCACATATTGTTGCAATAACATATGTATCTCTTTCTCATATTTGTTTCTTGCAAGGATCAGTGTTTGAATAATATTTTGAATGCTTGACTGTGTGTATGTTTTGTTATATTTCGTAAAAATCACCTTGGCACCATTTCTAATACTTGTATTTAATTTTTCCCAAATGTATACATACATTGTCTTCAGAATGTGAGGGTGACCATTGCCCTGGATGGCCATCCTCCTGATGTAACAGGGAAAAGGTGAAATAAAATGTATAAAACAAAAAAAAACACATTACCAACGTAGGGAATGTCTACGACGTGTGTCACTCATCCACCATCCCCATCCCACCCAATCCTCACCCTTACTCTCTACACGCATAAAGATAACGATTGCTTATCTTTGACACACAAACATTTTGATCATGTTCAAATACCAAAGAAGCTGATAATGTTATTTTTTAAAATCTAGGTAAGCATAAAGTAAAATTGTATTTGTCAATTTGAATATTTGTTAAATATAGCTTGGAATGGTTCTCACGTTGCAGGTATCGGCTCTAACCCTGGCCATGTATGTCTTCTGGTACGATGACGTTCATCTCGATGCCGCAATCATATTCTCCACTGTCTCACTACTCAAGATACTCCGTCGGGGGCTGAACATGACGCCAGACTTCTTTCATGACCTTGCTAGGGTATGTGTAGAACTGAACCAACACATGACCTATAATTGAGTGAGTGAGTGAGTATGGTTTTACGCCGCTTTTAGCAATATTCCAGCAATATCACAGCGGGGGACACCAGAAATGGGCTTCACACATTGTACCCATGTCGGGAATCGAACCCGGGTCTTCGGCGTGACGAGCTAACGCTTTAACCACTAGGCTACCCGACCGCCCCTGACCTATAGTTGGCACATGTTGATGCATATGCAGATACCGAGCATAAGTTCGTATTTCAGTCGACAATTGTAAAGCTTGAATTCAACATCCCTTTATAAGATACGTTTTTTTCTTACCACCAATGGATAAAGTTGGTGATGCTGGGCATGCATGAGAATTCATGAAAAAATAAGAAATGTTTATTGTGATATATTGAACTACCTCAGGTTGAAGCTATATTTCATGTATATATCAGCTGATTATTAGTAATACATAATAATAATGATAAAGCTTATACCATACCTATATATGGGATCAAATAACACTGACAGATTCACTGATTACTATTGGTCATATATGTATTATGTATTAACGACTACTCCACACGGGGGCACGGGTGGCCCAGTCGTCTAAGGCGTCGCGATTCGCTGTTCAGGGTTGCGTCCCTTGGGCACGCCAGAAACCTATGTTTGTGGGTTCGAATCCCGGTTGGCCCCGATTATGTTTCTAGGTTTGTCAGCACCATACCCGTGCCCGTTGGTTTCACCGAAGTGGTAAACGTCTGAGACCTGCATCACTTTCGGGCTTTCCTCCCACATTAAGCTGACACGCCGTGATATACCTGGAATTATGTTAAAAGCGGCGTTTAACCCAACCCACTCACTCACTACTCCACACATCGTGACAATTGACTTATCCATGTTTATCCACAGCTTCACACGCACGTGGGTAGGATACAACAGTTTCTTCTTCAGGATGAACAACCACAGCATCCCCTTGAACACAAGACATATACAGGTGAATGGGGACGACTGTATGTAGTCTTTGATTGGCATTTAGACGCTGAAGAGGCATAAGGACAATACTCTTTCTTTATGGATTACAACTTCTGTATTGATTGCAACGACATATTCAAAGCTTCATCTAATGAGACGTTATCCCCAAAAGGTTTCATGTTTTCATTAAATATGGGAGAGCTCAAACCATATTTGAGAATTGCGGAACTGTGTATTATTTTACGGTTCAGAACATTTGAATTATGATTTTAGCGCTGGGGTGATATAATTATAACTCTTGCTTGATGGTGGGCCCAGGGGTCACCAATTGCCCAGTCATCTGAGGCTGTGTATTGGCTGTAGAAATTTGCGTCTTTGAAGCGGGGCGGAATCGTGTTATCGTGGGATGGCCAAAACAAATGTAAATCAACGTCTTGTCCAACTAAACGTCAACTCTCTTATTCATCTACCCATTGTAAGGCGTTTCTGATTTTCAACGACGATATCGTATTAACGAATCTCGTTTTCTTTACAGATTTTGCCATACAAATAAAAGGAGGGACCTTTTCCTGGGACAGAACAATACCGCCAGTTTTAAAGGAGTATGTACATGTCTTAGTATAAAATTATGATAGAAATGTATATATGTCTGTACATGTTTATTTACGACGAGTGTCATCATTTATGAGTTTTTGAATAACAGTAAAAAACGGAGTAATTTAGGTAGGGATTGCTTCTTGTCAAAAATGTTTCATGTCTTTGATAATGTTCTGCTGACGTCAGTATTTCAGTGAGTGTGTCAAGAGGAGGCTTGGTGGCGGTCGTGGGACAGGTTGGGGAGGGGAAGTCGTCACTGATTAATGCCATTCTCAGGGAGATGGTCGTCATCACAGGCACTACAGACGTGCAGGTACCACTTCACTGTCCCCGGTTCAGTTCACCAACTGTAAAGTGTTCATACTTTACAGCACTCTAATGACTCTAAATAGGGTTGAATCGTTTTTACTCGAACCCCATCCATTTAAGAGGATGTGATGGTATGGTATAATAATTATGAGCACTAATGTTTCTTATCTATGCCTGTTCTACAGGAGTTCGATTGACAAGGTTACACTGTGAAGGAATCGCGTCATTCTGAAATTGAAATTTCGGTATAAAAAACAAATTGTACTCAATTCTGCCGAATACAGTGTTATTCTCTCATACTTACCGTTAATATGGCATTTTAACTCATTTAAGAGATTCATTTCTTAAGGATTTGAAAATAACAAGACATTCTATTACTAAATTGGTGCATTAAGGTCATGCATGAACTAATCTGAATAATGTGATATGCTTGGTTTACCTTTATGACCATTTGGCCTCTTGTCGCAATTGTGAAGATTGCCTTTTGCCCACCCAGTGTTAAATAACGTTAGTACATGTTATTACTTAGGGCAGCATCGCGTATGTCCCCCAACAAGCCTGGGTTCAGAACGACACCTTGGAGCAGAACATCCTTTTCGGAGCCCACTTCGACAGAGAACGATATGACGCAGTCCTGGAGGCTTGCGCACTGGGGCCGGATCTTGAATTACTCCCTGGCGGAGATCAAACAGAAATCGGGGAGAAGGTAATCGGAATAAGGAATTTTCATGTACAACCATTAGGATTTTACACATCTCTAAGTGACAGTTTGACAGACTGATTTAATTTCTGTTTATAGTTTAAGCCAATTTTGCACTATACAAGAAGCTAACACGGAAGAGACGCCGAGAACTTGCTCCATATATTGTTCCCATTTGAAGAATCGAACCTGTGCATTTTAGGTCCCATTCCCAGAAGTGCAAAACAAATAGCATCATCAATACCCTCTCATGTTTGAAAAGACGTTAAAAGATGGTACTGGCTGTTACCCTGTCTGGCGCTCCGTATTAAGGGGCTGAAACAAGAACTGATTTGCTCGGAGTCAGTATCCTGTGTCTGAGTGGGGTATTCATGTTCAACTCAGCGTGTTAGCACTATGAAATCCGGACTAGTCCGGACTAGCACACACACACACACACACACACACACACACACACACACACACACACACACACACACACACACACACACACACACACACACACACACACACACACACACACACACACACACACACACGTTAAAACGTCACTTCAGCTCACCTTGCTACGCGTTTTTGGAGGTTTTTTTCGAAATAAGTAACTTTTAAGTAACATCATTCTTTGATTGAGAGTGAAAACAGTTTGGTTGCGACCAAATCTTGTTGCTTGTCAATCCCATTGGAACACGACATCGACTTTAGAGGAGGATAGAAGTAGATTGTGTTTGTAGCCAAAGCTACATGTGCGTACAAATTCTATCCAAAGCTACATGTACGTACAAACTCTATCCAAAGCTACATGTACGTACAAACTCTATCCAAAGCTACATGTACTCACAAACTCTATCCAAAGCTACATGTATGTACAAACTCAATCCAAAGCTACATGTACGTACAAACTCTATCCAAAGCTACATGTACGTACAAACTCTATCCAAAGCTACATGTACGTACAAACTCAATCCAAATATACATGTACGTACAAACTCTAGCCAAACCTACATGTTCCTACAAAGTCTGTTGTATTATATTTGTTTCCGATCTTGCCATCAGGGCATCAACTTGAGTGGAGGACAGAAGCAGAGAGTGTCTCTAGCTAGAGCTGTCTACAACGATGCTGACATCTATCTCTTTGATGACCCCCTAAGTGCCGTTGACAGTCATGTTGGAAAGCATATCTTTGACAAAGTTATAAGTAACAAAGGGCGACTAAGTGACAAAGTGAGTATGTAAGGCACAGATTTGTTTTCCCAAGATAAGACTGCTTTCATTCAAAATTGCAGATGTTTAGTTCACATTAAAATCAAAATGTTTTTTTCTGTCAGATGTGCTTGTGAATATATAACAAACCTTCCATCGGATGAGTATTTATTATTTACTTCAGTGTGAAAGACTGAGTTTCCGAAGTTAAAAAAATTTGATATTTTCATTGCAGTGAACATAACAATTGATATTTCACTGCAGTGAACATAACACTTGATATTTCACTGCAGTGAACATATCACCTTCTCATACAAGAGTCAACTCCCCTCGAATTGTCTACCTCTATCATAAGTGTCTGGCCCGAACACAAACTGTTAACTTCCTTTTAATGTTAGTTCCACATTGACAAGGCAAAATGATGACAGATTGTAATTTATGGAGTTATTATCGCTTCATGGCGTTTGTTATTCTCTTGAAAATGTTCCGTTACAAATTGTAAATTTCTCACTTAACTCGTCAATCGAGACCGTTCGTTTCGCAAAGCATCATTTTTGTTACTTGACCAGCGTGTATTCTTTCGCTTCCAACAGCGGTCTCAAGCGGTTTTCAAGAATATTTTTGTCAAAGTTGATTTTGTACATAATCATATAAATATGTATGATGCAGAATTTTCGCGACCCTAAATATTTTTTTGTTACTTTTGTTTATATTTTTTTATGATTTTGCAAACACGAAACTACTGTAGACAACAACACAAAAAGTATATATTAACAAATATATGTTATCATACGCAGATGTACTTGTGAACATACACATATGACATACCTTTCAATCGGATCAGTATATATCGTCATCATAATGTTATCACATACGTCCTTGTGAACATATTAATAATACGTTCTTCTGATCAGCATCAGTTATTATCAGCTCAATGTCCTGTCTCGGACACGTGTAACTGATAGCAAATCTCAAAATCTCATCTTCGTTTCAACATCAATACATATGATAAGGTTAACCCCAAATCATTCCTCAATGGGTGTTCTTGTGAATGTGTAAGACATCAGTTCTTTTGATCACCACCAAACATATCAAACGAGTATTATGGTGTTAACCCGCTTTAGACAAGCGTCTTTTGAGTGTGTGTTTGGGGGCGGAGTGGGCAAGCTGTGGCAGGTGCTGAGATCGTATCCCGCTAGTCACCGGGTTGCTGTTCAGCCTTGGGACCATCAATGTTGACAGGTCCTTACAGTGTTGTCACTACCCCTAGTGTACAGTACATACACCCTGTGCGCTCAAAAGAACCCACTTGTCCGATGGTAGATGACAAGATTGCGGAAACACGAATGCGTTCGTACACCCGAAACATAAGTGTCAAAACTTGTGATGTCACCCTAGGCAGATGACTTGACTTAGTTCAAATATACCTCTGTTCACCTACATGTACCAGAGAATGGGTGCACGATGTGTGAGGTGGATGTAAAACCTTCTAGCGCCCCTTGGCAGCTTAGGTTGTATAATTAAGAAACAAACGACGAGTGGGCGTTGTTCATGGTACAATAAAACACTGCAGGGAGAATAAACAATGAGGTAAATGACATATAAACATTAAGTACAGCCTCTTTAAGGATGTTGATAAAATGTACAAGCTTTAAAAATATTTACCCAAATTTTAATAATGACTCCCTACCTTTTCTCCTCATGCCTATTATAATATCCCTCCCACTTTTGGATGCGATCGTTCGGCCGCTGCGTTCATCTGCTTAGCCTAGCTTCATCCATGGGGAACAACTTAGCAGACACTTCCCTCTCGAATATAAGGTCGTCTAAAACAAAGTTACGTCATCATATTCGAATCTCCAGAAATGACGTCATGATAGAACAATGTTTTATCGTAAAATAAACCACATTTCGTTCTTCATTGTTCTTTGCATTTTTTCGCGAATCTATCTTACAAAAATGTATGAAAGGTATCAATTAATCCACATGTACACATCAATCAACATGGTGACGCAATTCCATTCTTCAGACTCGTGTCCTGGTAACCCACAACGTGTCCGTGCTGTCCCGAGTGGACACGATCCTGGTCATCAGCAACAAGTGTGTCAAGGAGCGTGGGTCCTATGAGGAACTCATGTCAAGAAACAGTGTCCTGAAGCAGGTGGTGTCCTCCTCGCCTGTAGCAGATATAGGTAAGAGGCCTGTTCTGTTGACCATAGTGAATGAGTGAGGTGGGCTTAACGCAGCTTTTAACAGTATTTCAGTTATATCAATGCGTGCCAGCTTAATGTGGGGAACCAGAAGTGATGCAGGTCTCAGACGAATACCACTTTGGTAAAACCCCTGAGGACGGTTTTGATATTGACAAACCTAGACACATAATTTGGGCGAACTGGATGCGAACCCATGAACATAGCTTTCTGACGTGCAACGGACGCAATTCTGCATAGCGAGTTGCGGCGCCTTATACAACTGGGCCATCCGTGATTATTATAATTGCTATGTCAATGTTCATTTCATTGCTTTTTGATGTCATTTTGTAAATGTATGATTTCAGATCAAAAATCGTGGGACACAGAAAATAAACCGACAGTTGACCAGCGGTAAATACAATACATGGCATTTGGTTAGACGCGCACTTTAGAATGTATTTGAGAAATATTGAACTTCAGTTATTTATTCAGTCCTGCATGTTGTAACCTCAACTTATCACACTGCATTTAATCAAATACAAACAAAACGCCAACACAAGAGAACACTTAGCCCGAACCTTCCTCCGATTCAGACCCGTGAAGATTCCGGGGTAGAATTGGTCTTCAGCAACCCATGCTTGCCGTAAAAGGTGACTATGCTTGTCGTTAAAGGCGACTTACGGGATCGGGTGGTCAGGCTCGCTGACTTGGTTGATGCATGTCATCGATCCCAATTGCGTGGATCGATGCTCATGATATTAATCACTAGATTGTCTGGTCCAGACTCGATTATTACAGATCGCCGTCATATAGCTGGAATATTGCTGAGTGCGGCGTTAAACAACAAACAAACAAAGCAATCCTCCGATCCAGATTCCACCGAGAGCAATCAAATATAAAACGTCAATGCCAGAGAGTAACCAGCCTCGATTATTCAACGAAACAGATTCCATTGTGTGTGAAAGACAAAATAGCCGTGAAGTTTAAATGAATGGAAATCTGAAAATTAGTGATGGCAGCGGGTGTTCGGGAATAGGGTAGATATGTCCTGCCTACGTGTAGCACCCGCCACTCACATAATTTGCAGTGTAAATTTGCATTGCATTACAGGCTGTCGTCATATACCTTGAATACTGCTGAGTGTGCGTTCTATACTTATCATTACCTTTGTTAGCTTTGTTGGAGCAATGATTTTTAATTTCACATTCTCTTTCAACAATTCTTATTTATATGGAAAGGATTTTGTCACTTTTATTAATTCCAAAATTAATGACGAAATTAAAGGAGAATGACCAATTTTGAATTGACCAGTAAAACACATATGTCAATCTACAGTTGAATTGAAGTGAAGTGAATTGATTCAGCCCCTCTCTTCTTCGGTAACCACGTTCGGTAACTCACAAAATTTGCATTGTAAAAATATGTGTTTGCCTGACACTGCACAGCACTCCTGCCATGCATGTCAAAAGTAACAGCCAACCCTAAAACGGTCTAAAATGATTGTTTTCAGTGTTCCTGCTTACAAGCAAAACGACTCTAAACAGAAAGGGCTGGGGAAGCTGATCGAGGAGGAGAGCGTAGGGTTGGGAGGAGTGAGTAGTTCATGTATGTTTATCATCCTTCATTCTTCCTTCCCTGTCAAATACAACGCATTGACTACCTTCCTGTTCCATCTTCCATTCCTTCGAGTCATATACATATATTACTAACTTCATATGATAATGATATCATATGACAATATTAATTGTATGGCATTGCAGATTGAACAATACAAGGTTTTTCGAAACTATGTTGTTATGCGAGCGTTTCCATGACCGATGATAACATTCACCATATGAACTGCCTTTACATATATCACTCAAGAAAATCAAAATAAACATACACACGTACGCACGCACACACGCACGCACGCACGCACACACAAGTACACACACGTACACACTCACACACACATTGAAGTCTCACATTTGGTGTTCCAGAAAGTCTACAACATGCATGTGTTGAATAGATCAATGTCTAAATTCTCTATCATCTGATTATTTCGTAATCATAAACCTTTCTCATTTCTTGAATTAAATGTATATATCTAGAGGTCCAAAAAGCCCCCCCCCCCCCCCCCCCCCCCCCCTTCAAACCTGAACTGCATAATCGAACACGATATTATTAAATGTGAATAGAAGTTGTCGTGAAATGGATACTATTGGAAAGTCACACTTGTAGATGAGGATGAACGTCTTCTCCAAGTTCCTGAACGCCTTTGGTTCCAGCCATTGGTTGCTGATAGGAGGGAGCTACTTCTTGTATTACGTCACAGTGTCTTTGGCCAACATCTGGCTGAGTGTGTGGGCCGAGGGCACGGTGCACCATAACTCCACCATACACCTAACACAGGGACAGAAGCCGTCAAACACCTGGTACATAGGCATCTACTTTGCCCTGGGAATACTGCAAGGTCAGCAAATGTTCATGCTATTCACTTGTCTATAAATTATATACATTTCAAAATGAGACGCATCAGTGACATAAAACATACTCGCTCTCCCAGTTCTCCATTTTGGCTTGTACCTAATATTCGCATTTTTTTTTCTGGTCAACAGTTGACTTACCTTTGCATGTGTTTGTGACAAACACGTCGTATCATCACGAGTAGATAGCGATTCATAAAGACATGCTTATGATATCGTCGGGATCGTACAATGGACCTTTTTTAACCAAGATTTTTTTATGATTTTGGAAATGGTTTGTGACGCCTTTACATATATATATATATATATATATATATATATATATATATATATATATATATATATATATATATATTTATGTGAAGTGAAATCCCCGGAGCTTTTTAAAACCCTGCTTTCTGGACAATCAATTTTAGTACGTGTTCATATATGAACATATGATTAATACTTGGCACGCTTTGTGGATTCCGGGTAAGAAATGACCAATTGCAACCTAATATGCTGGTCGTAAGAGGCGAATGGATAGGGTGGTCGGGTTTGGTCAACTTGGTTGCTAGTGTCCTCGTAGAACAACGGGATGGATCACAATATCCATGCCTGGCCCAGCGTCGATTGTTTACAGGCTGTCGTTATATAGCTTGAATACTGCTGAGTGTGGCGTTCTATACTTATCATTAGCTTTGTTAGCTTTGTTAGCTTTGTTGGTGCAATGATTTTTAATTTCACATTCTCTTTCAACAATTCTTATTTATATGGAAAGGCTTTTGTCACTTTTATTTATTTCAAATTTAATGACGAAATTAAAGGTGAATGATCAATTTTGATTTGTCCAGTAAAACACATATGTCAGTCTACAGTTGAATTGAAGTGAAGTGAATTGATTCAGTCCCCGTCTTCTTCGGTAACCATGCTAGCCGCGGGGGGCGATTTGCCTTTCCGTAAGAGGCGACTAACGAGATCGGATGGTAAGGCACGCTGACATGGTTGATGCATATCATCGTATCCCGTAGATCGATACTCATAATGTCAATCACTGGATTGTCTGGTCCAGACTCGATTATTCACAGACCGCCGTCCTATAGCAGGAATACTGCTGAGTGCGGCGATAAACAACCAACAAACAGACCCTCTATTCCCTGTATTTACTGGGGATACATGAATTCCTACGCCCTTCCCTAATTTGAAGCCAATCAGTCTTCCCTTTTAATTAATACACGTAACAGACACAAAGGCCTTATGGTTTCATTTGCTTGTTATCACGAGGTCAACAGCTGTATTTTATGGCCAAAGTACGGGAAGTCGATGAACACTTCGTTGATAAACGAGCAGGTCACGTAACAGACACAGGCGTTATGGTTTCATTTGCTTGTTATCATGAGGTCAACAACTGTATTTTATGGCCAAAGTACGGGAAGTCGATGAACACTGCGTTGATAAACGAGCAGGTCACGTAACAGACACAGAGGCCGCATGGTCTCATTTGCTTGTTATCATGAGGTCAACAGCTGTATTTTATGGCCAAAGTACGGGAAGTCGATGAACACTGCGTTGATAAACGAGCAGGTCACGTAACAGACACAGAGGCCGCATGGTCTCATTTGCTTGTTATCATGAGGTCAACAGCTGTATTTTATGGCCAAAGTACGGGAAGTCGATGAACACTGCGTTGATAAACGAGCAGGTCAAACGTGTGCTCGAGCCCTCTGACAATAATGTCAAATTAGCACTTACTATCATCTTGAAAGAGACATATGATCGCAAGAAATCTTTTCTGAACGCAGAGTCCATTATTACAATTCCGAGTTTATCATAAGCATGTGTTTATGAATTGCTATCAAATAGCGATGATACCAAGTGTTCGCTCAAAGGTAAGCGTATACTCTCCATACAGATGGCACATGTTACAAATACATGCAAAGGCAAGACAACTGTACCTGAAAAACATATGGAACAATCCAAATTTGGGAGTTGCACCAGACATAATGTTTATAACAGATGCGTCAAATTTGGAAACATCCGCACCATGTTTACCACTTAACGTTTTAAAAGCATACACATATGCATATATGTGTGATTTTCTTTGCATAATGTATTCTAACATACATTATTTCTGTCGAATATGTCGTAAATATCCTTAATTTACCTTACTTTTCATAATTATTTTGTATTTGCAGCTGCGCTTGTCCTTGGTTACAGTGTTGTTCTCAAGGACTTTACAGTAGTGGCTTCAAGAAAGCTACATTCAAATATGCTGGAAACGGTGTTGAAGTCACCAATGAAATTCTTTGACACAACTCCTTTAGGAAGAATAACCAATCGGTTTTCACAAGACATAAACACCATCGATAAAGAACTACCCTTTACCTTTGAGATTTGGATGGATTCATGCTTTCAGACTTTGTGCTCTATGTGTATAGTGTTTTATAGTGCTCCTGGCGTTGTGATTCTGCTCATTCCACTGATATATTGCTGTATTGTTATACAGGTGTGTATAGCAGGGTCTTTTTGTCCTAGAATAATAATAATGTCTGTACTTACATCCCGGTCGTCTAAGGCGCCGCAAGTCGCTGTGCAGAATTGTATGGAAGCGTATCAGTGCCACAGGCTAAAATGTTTGTATCATCTACGTGGATTATACTTACATCTATTAAGATGATATTTAAATCTACGTAGATGATATTCAAAACTACGTAGATGGTACTTTCATCTACGTAGATGGTACTTTCATCTACGTAGATGATACTTTCATCTACGTAAATGATACCTAAATCTTCGTAGATGATACTTAAATCTACGTAGATGATACTAAATCTACGTAGATGATACTTACATCTACTTAGATGATACTTAAATCTACGTAGATGATACCTAAATCTTCGTAGATGATACTTAAATCTACGTAGATCATACTTATATCTACTTAGATGATACTTAAATCTACGTAGATGATACTTACATCTACTTAGATGATACTTAAATCTACGTAGATGATACTTACATCTACTTAGATGATACTTAAATCTACGTAGATGATACTTACATCTACTTAGATGATACTTACATCTACTTAGATGATACTTAAATCTACGTAGATGATACTTACATCTACTTAGATGATACTTAAATCTACGTAGATGATACTTTCATCTACTTAGATGATACTTAAATCTACGTAGATGATACTTTCATTTACGTAGATGATACTTTCGGACTTTTCACTACGAATGAATTTTCTTCTCAATCCCAAAATCCCAAATTCGTCTTTGCGAATAGATACAACTAATAAAATATACAAATAATGAATATTAAGTGTGATCAATATTTATTAAAATAACTTCGCTGTAGTTGTTCCTTTTTCCAAATTCTGATAACCAGGGTGGAGGTTATCGAGGAAGCATGTGATGTGGTCCATTGTTACACGAAGTCATATCATTCCAGAATGACGTCATATCTGTCTCACATGTTTAAAGGTTCACATAAAAAGGATTTGTTTCAGAACATATCTGATAACGTTTGTATTTGACATTGTCGACAAACGTATGTATTTTCAGATTTGCGGGTTTGTTGAGTTATCGAATAAGGGTTATCTCCCAAATGACACCGAATGACACCTTTAACTGAAATGGTTATATATTATCTGTTATAACTTGTTCGAGGTTACACATATTTATAAACATTATGAACTGTAAGGTTAGATTTTCCCTCTTTCAGAATTAACATATTTGGGAATATCTTGTCTGTTAGAGATATTTCATCAGTACATCACGTCAGCTGAAGCGGGCCTATGTCAAGTCGCTATCCGACGTGTTGAGTTTCTTCAGTGAGACTTCCCAGGGAGTTGAGCTAATCCGGGCATTCAAGGAGCATGAGAGATTTGCCACACGCTTCGTTCACCTCGCTGAGACGCACCAGAAGTTCAACTACTACAACTTTATATCAAACAGGTATAAACATTCATGTATTCTATAAAAATATCTTCTAGTTGTAATACCATCGTTGAGTCTGTCGGTTTAGTCTGAAAAATAAATTCTAATTCTGTATTTGTGTTAACGGTTTACTGTTACATGCTCCACAAAAAATGGTTTGGGGAACATGTATGAAACGTGGTTGTTAAATCAGGGAATATTAATAAATTTCGAAAATTATCTATTCAGACTTTAATATTTTCCTGGACATTCCAGGGTTATGCATATTTCCTAAACATAGCCATTGACTATAACCTATAACCGTCCTTCAGAGACGTCTTTTATCTCATTATGTGGCGTTCTCACGGTCCCAGACCATATATACAAAATTATGAATTTGATAAACCGTTATATGAAAAGCTAACAGTTATGTTTGTTTGAGTTATTGTTTTATTCCATTAAAGATTTATCTTCATTTTTTGGATAAGAGAGTTTCGAACCCGTCAACCGAAAAATGTGAAAAGTGTTGTCTGACTTTAACGCACAATTTATGCTAAGGGCATGATATGATATAGAGGATATAGAGGATATTTCATGTGTCGAGTGAAATATCATGTTCCTGTTATCGAGTGATAGGGGGAAAGAAAACATTTTCATGAGTGGCGTACCCACGAGTGAATATATCTTCTATCCACCGGCACGAGATGAGAGAAACATGATATTTCACGAGACACATGGAGTATCCTGTTTATAATATACTTTTTGTGTAGTTGCGACTTATAAATAAGTAGTTCTGAGTTTGCAAAATCTAAAAAATGTAAATAAAAGTAATAAAACATATTTGAGGTCACTAAAATTATTTATCATACTTTTGGATATGATGACATACAAGTCAACTTAAAATATATTCTTAAAAGCTACGAGAACGATGTTGGAAGCGAAAGAATACACGCTGGTCAAGTAACAAAAATCGCGCTTTGGGAAACGAGCAGCCTCGATTGACGAATTAAATGAAACATTTACAGTTTATAACGAAACATCTTCAAGAGAATAACAAATGGGAAAAAGCGACATTAACCCCATCTACAACCAACTGCCACATTTTGCCTTGTCAATGTGGAACTAACGTAAAAAGGAAGTCAACACGATCAAGTGAGACAAGTTGCAGACAGTTTGTACGTGTTACGTTCACTGCAATGAAAATATCACTTTTCTCAACTTCAGAAAACTCAAATTTTATCTCTGAAGTATAGAATAAGTGAAAGAGGTGTGAGTGTGTAAACCTACGTTTTGATCACTGTGGTGTTCGTTGTAGATGGCTGAGCATGCGTCTAAGCTTCGTGTGCCACGTGATCCTTGCTTCCACGGCGTTGCTGATCTTTCTGGAAGGGGATGCTGTCAGCAGCGGCGTGATGGGGCTTGCCTTGTCCTTTGCATATGAGGTTTGGAGAATAAAGTTCACCTTTATCTAGTCATTACGGCATTCTATGATTCTTTTCGACCTCTACGGCCAAATGAACGTTTTCTATGATATTCCTATCACGAGTTTCACTTGTGTAGCGTAAGCTGCGAAGAGTTTGGCATTTCGGTTTCTTCAAAGAGGCAGCGCCATCTAAAACTCAAAGATACGATACACGATTCATAAGATACAATGTAATTCATACGATCTGAGAATGGCCACTTTTTACCACTTTGGGCGGTGGAGCGAAGCGAAGGAACGATGATGCGATATGAAGAAACGATGGATCGATGAAGTGAAACTGTGGAGATATGGTGAATATGATGAAACTGTGGAGAAATAGTGCGGATGTGGTGAAACTATGGAGATATGGTGAAAATGATGAAACTGTAGAAATAGTGTGGATATTGTGAATGTGATGAAACTTTGAACAAATTGTGCGGTTGTGGTGAAACTAGGGAGAAGAGGTGATTGTGATGAAACTGTGTAGAATAGTGAGTGAGTGAGTATGGTTTTACGCCGCTTTTAGCAATATTCCAGCAATATCACGGCGGGGGACACCAGAAATGGGCTTCACACACAGTACCCATGTCGGGAATCGAACCCGGGTCTTCGGCGTGACGAGCGAACGCTTTAACCACTAGGCTACCCGACCACCCCCGTGTAGAAATAGTGCAGATGTAGTGAAACTATTGAGATATGAAGCGATGTAATGAAACTGTGTAAAAATAGTGTGGATATGGTGAATGTGAAACTGTGAAGAAATAGTGTAGATACGGTGAAACTATGGAGATGTAGTGAATGTGATGAAACTGTGTAGAAATAGTGCGGATGTGGTGAAACTAGGGAGATGAGGTGAATGTGTTGAAACTGTGTAGAAAGAGTGCAGATATGGTGAAACTAGGGAGATGAGGTGAATGTGATGAAACTGTGTAGAAATAGTGCAGATATGGTGAAACTAGGGAGATGAGGTGAATGTGTTGAAACTGTGTAGAAATAGTGCGGATATGGTGAAACTAGGGAGATGAGGTGAATGTGTTGAAACTGTGTAGAAAGAGTGCAGATATGGTGAAACTAGGGAGATGAGGTGAATGTGATGAAACTGTGTAGAAATAGTGCGGATGTGGTGAAACTAGGGAGATGAGGTGAATGTGTTGAAACTGTGTAGAAAGAGTGCAGATATGGTGAAACTAGGGAGATGAGGTGAATGTGTTGAAACTGTGTAGAAAGAGTGCGCATATGGTGAAACTAGGGAGATGAGGTGTATGTGATGAAACTGTGTAGAAAGAGTGTGGATATGGTGAAACTAGGGAGATGAGGTGAATGTGATGAAACTGTGTAGAAATAGTGCGGATATGGTGAAACTAGGGAGATGAGGTGAAAATGATGAAACTGTCTAGAAAGAGTGTGGATATGGTGAAACTAGGGAGATGAGGTGAAAATGATGAAAATGTGTAGAAAGAGTGCGGATATGGTGAAACTAGGGAGATGAGGTGAATGTGTTGAAACTGTGTAGAAAGAGTGCGCATATGGTGAAACTAGGGAGATGAGGTGTATGTGATGAAACTGTGTAGAAAGAGTGTGGATATGGTGAAACTAGGGAGATGAGGTGTATATGATGAAACTGTGTAGAAATAGTGCGGATATGGTGAAACTAAGGAGATGAGGTGAAAATGATGAAACTGTCTAGAAAGAGTGTGGATATGGTGAAACTAGGGAGATGAGGTGAAAATAATGAAAATGTGTAGAAAGAGTGCGGATATGGTGAAACTAGGGAGATGAGGTGAATGTGTTGAAACTGTGTAGAAAGAGTGCGGATATGGTGAAACTAGGGAGATGAGGTGAATGTGTTGAAACTGTGTAGAAATAGTGCGGATATGGTGAAACTAGGGAGATGAGGTGAATGTGTTGAAACTGTGTAGAAAGAGTGCGGATATGGTGAAACTAGGGAGATGAGGTGAATGTGTTGAAACTGTGTAGAAAGAGTGCGGATATGGTGAAACTAAGGAGATGAGGTGTATGTGATGAAACTGTGTAGAAAGAGTGTGGATATGGTGAAACTAGGGAGATGAGGTGTATGTGATGAAACTGTGTAGAAATAGTGCGGATATGGTGAAACTAGGGAGATGAGGTGAAAATGATGAAACTGTCTAGAAAGAGTGCGGATATGGTGAAACTAGGGAGATGAGGTGAAAATGATGAAAATGTGTAGAAAGAGTGCGGATATGGTGAAACTAGGGAGAGATGGAGCGATGTATTAGAGCGAGAATAGTAAGATGTTATAGAGCTTTGATGGACAGAGGTTTTAAATGTGAGGTAACAGCTTGCTCTCTGGTCAATATCAAAAGATAAATAAGATGAACATGGAGCTGCCTAAACCTTTCCTTCGTGGCATTTGTTCCAGGAGTTTTAGTGATATTGATAATATGTGGATTTTCTCAACGTTCAAGTTGTCAATATTATCATCTGATATTTCATGTTGACCCAGTGATTGTAAATTTTCACACCTACATGCTAAAGATATAAATACTTTTTGATATTGTTCCAGACAAGCAATGATCTCCGGATGTTTATCATTAGAAGCACAAAACTTGATCTCATGAGTGTTTCCGTTGAAAAGATAATGGAGTATGCTTCCATGGAAACAGAGGTACGTTAGTCAAGCTAAGATCCCTGTGTTACGGTATAAACTATCCAATTACAGGCATGTCATCATTTACCTGGCTGCCACACTGTGATATAACTATAATAGTGTTAAAGTAGTGGTAACCTATACTCCCTCAGACATTTAACTGGTTGTACATGACAAGAGAAACGCTAGTATTTGGTAAAATTTTCTATCTGCTTTTAGTTACAATACTTCAAAATGTAAGACGTTCCTTTATCAGGATGTTGTAAGATATTTGAGATTGAAAGCAATCTTGTAAATCAGTAGGGTCCGCTCGTCATACTCCGTTACGTAAATGATTCTTAGATCACAATGTAATAGTATTGTTGTAAATTGCAATCAGCACAATGAGAGACATGTAACCCGTCCAATAACTTGTATCATGGTCAAAAGAAATCAGGCATACGATTTGATACGAGCAACATCCATAAGAGGATCACACTGAACCATAGTGAGTGAGTGAGTATGGTTTTACGCCACTTTTAGCAATATTCCAGCAATGTGACGGCGGGGGACACCAGAAATGGGCCTCACACATTACCCATGTCGGGAATCGAATCCGGGTCTTCGGCGTGACACTGAACCAAAAGGTACATGTGGTGTCGCCATAAACTTTGTTCGAAGTATGCACAAGTTCACACAGAATTGAATGGGTACCTGTCTGGATGAGATTGTAATGCTACCTTAAAGGGCAAGTTTACACGGAAATGAACCAATTTTTCTTGTACTTTTTCCACATTAAAAGTGTTAACATAGAAGTGTCATAGACAAAAATATAAAAACATCATATTTAATTAACATATTTTTTGCATTAAAACGATTTATATTTTTCACATTTACCAAGTGTTCTATTTCCATAACAAAAACACCATGGCTTATGCCCCTTGCAATATGACGTCATTGGTGCCAATTGATAAACATTATGACGTCATCATGCTTTGTTAGAGCCGCTTCACGTGGTGTAGGTACAGTTTTGTGATTCTAGCGTCTCAGATGCCAGCCAGAATTGTGTTATGCTGAGTCACCATTGCGCCGGAGTGTGTCGTAGACCATGTTGTTTTACCGCAAACTGGTCCTTGATATCTTTTGCGTTGAGAATAGACAGGGACCCAGTTGAATTGGCACCAATTACGTCATAATCTAAGGGGGATAACTCAGGCCTATTTCGCTCGTAAAACGAAGGCCTCATAACGACATATCATTTTAACACTATTGTGAGCTTCCTACTTTCACTGTGAAAAAAAATGAGCGTATATTTTCAAACACAGATACTAACTAATTCTGAAATTGCGTTTTGTTTAGAAAAAGAAAGAAAGTGATTTTTGCGTGTACACTTCCCCTTTAATCCTTCTAGTATGGTTGTGTACTCCAGGTGTAATACTTATCTGGACAATGAGCATCCACTTGGTGAATAGAATCTAGCGCATTGTTAATGGACTTATTACTTTGGGGTGGTGTGGCTTTCTACTTATACCGACCAAAAGGAATTAGGGGTCATATATATTTAGGAGATATATTTATGAGATTGTGTTTTCCGTCTTCACTACAAAAATATACCTGAAAATATTCACGATCCCGATTTGTTTGGTTCAGTGTTCAAAGACGTAGTTATCAAAGTTGCCCTAAAGTATTGATTTCCGGATTAACGGGTGTTTGCTGTACGAAGGAGCAATGCCGCTTTCTTCATTCTTTGTTCTGTTGTCAGGTAGACTGCTTTAACGGGGGTCAGAGCGTCCCTCCGACATGGCCGAACCAGGGAGACATACGATATCGGAACTTTTCTCTAAGGTACCGGTCTGGTTTACAGCTGGCGCTGCATGACATCAATCTATCAGTCAAACCAGGAGAGAAGGTTAGTGGAACCGAGGTGAGGTGAGGTTAGGTGAGGTGAGAAGAGGTGAGGTGAGGTGAGGTGAGGTGAGGTGAGGTGAGAAGAGGTGAGGTGAGGTGAGGTGAGGTGAGGTGAGGTGAGGCGAGGCGAGGCGAGGCGAGGCGAGGCGAGGCGAGGCGATTAATTAACGTGTGTGTCAGTGTGTGTGTTTGTAGTCCGGACTAATTTCGGTGTATAGCCCTAGCCCACTGAGACCGCAGTTATAACACGAATACTCCATTCAGACCCTGTATACTGACACGTACCATCTTTTAAGATATTTTGGTATGTCGTATTCGGGAATCGAAACGCCGACCTTCCGCTCTCTGTGCAGAAGTTTTCGCCACTAGGCCACGGAGGCGGTCGGTGGGACAAGAACATTGTTTGCAACTTCAATTAAAATAATGGTGTTGATTGAGACAGTCAGTCCTTAAATCAATCGGTTCGTAAAAGAGGAAGAATGAGAATGGTTTTACGATGTTTTATTCCAGCCTTATCTCAATGGGGAACACTAATTATAATTTTTACTTTTACACGGTGTATCTATGTGGAGAATGTGTGATGAGCGAGCAATGTAACCATTATAATTAGGGTGTCTAACTCTTCATTCGGTTACAGAAGCAACGTTTCCACTAGTACACACATCACCAGTCACAAGTTTATTGTTCCTGGAAGATTGATATCTATGCTGATTGAGACATTCTACTTTGTGGATTATTTTGCAGGTGGGAGTCGTGGGAAGGACAGGGGCAGGTAAATCGTCCATGATGCTCTCCCTTTTCCGTCTCATCGATCCTGTAGAGGGCGCTATCGTCATTGACGACATAAACATCGCCGATGTCCAGCTCTCCGAGGTCAGGTCAAGGTTGACGATAATCCCACAGGTGACCATTGCAATGCTTAGCAAATGTATATACCTCTAACTACAATTCCGTATTAATAATGTTTCTAATAATTTACTTTCAAACAAAGTGTCTATCTGGTACCGCAAAAAAACAACAACACACGCTGGACAAAGGAAATTACACACTTCACAATTGGACTTCACCAAAAAGAAGAAACGTTGTGAAAACGTTGATATAGCTGAAGACATTCGCCGAAACACCTCACACTTAAGGTTAAAAAACAACTGCGAAACCCGTTTCAAATGAATGGAATAATCATTTCTTGTCATTTGGGAGAGGGGCGGTCGGGTAGCCTAGTGGTTAAAGCGTTCGCTCGTCACGCCGAAGACCCGGGTTCGATTCCCGACATGGGTACAATGTGTGAAGCCCATTTCTGGTGTCCCCCGCCGTGATATTGCTGGAATATTGCTAAAAGCGGCGTAAAACCACACTCACTCACTCACTCATTTGGGAGATAAACCTGTTCTGTTTTGAGTGAGTGAGTGAGTATGTTTTACGCCTCTTTTAGCAATATTCGAGCAATATCACGGCGGGGGACACCAGAAATGGGCTTCAGACATTGTACCCATGTCGGGAATCGAACCCGGGTCTTCGGCGTGACGAGCGAACGCTTTAACCACTAGGCTACCCGACCGCCCCTATTCTGTTTTGAAATTTGATGTAGTCCATCTATAGATTAGATATTATTTTGATTTAGAACCGAGCGAATAAGCAACGCTTTGAAAACGGTGTTCTCTTGCAACGCGTAACAATACAGGGTACAAAGCTCCGCAATCTTAGAACATTATGAAAAGTGGTCACAGGTAGTAATAAGTGTAACAAATATTACTAAAGTTCAACATTATAATACCCATAGTCTTGAGTAGTTCAAAATAGGTGTTCAAAACACATAGATTTTCAAAAAGAAGTTGACAAATAACCCTCCAAACGTTGTCCAAATATAGATGATTTAATTTCATCGCAACCTGCAGTGCACTGGTTGGAACTCACCATGTCATTTCTTAAAAATCAGCAAGAGAATTCATTTCTTGTAAATGTGTGTATAGCTTCTTTTGCCCGGCAGTTTAGTAATTGGTTTCACATGGACACTTGTTTTTCAAAAGATTGAAATTTAGATCACAATTCCGTTTCCTATTACTGTAGGATCCGATGCTATTTTCGGAAACACTTCGTGTGAACCTTGATCCAATCGAGGCTTACGATGACCAGGAGATCTGGACTGCTCTGAGACACGCCCACCTTCACACACTGGTCAAGTCTCTTCCTGGTCAACTTCTCTACAAATGTCAGGAGGGGGGCAAGAACTTCAGGTACGATACAATAATGAGTGAGTGAATGTGAAACCGGTGAGGATTTTCAGCCAGAATAAGTTAAATAAACAAACCTTTGCTTCCCCGAGAGCCATAGGGACTCTGTGATAGCGTGTCTGGCATAATATATTTGTATAGAAAAAAAATCACACCCTCATACATATAGACAAGGAGTTACACCCGCCATCTTGGTCCTTATTCAAGATTTCACACTCGGTTCGAATCACAGCTCGATATTGCTTAAATATGAATGTCACTTATTTCAACCTATTGGCACTTGCTAGACAAACTATAGCTTAAACAATCGTGTTCATCTATGGTCACCTTACCTCGTATATATTATAAAACAACCATCAAATCTCAACCCTAAGCTTCGCCGCCGAGGTAAACAATAAAAATGTGGCCAGGAATTTCTGCGCTACACAGGCTTGAACTCATGATCAGTAAATGTAGACTAATCAGAAACGTTTACTGAGGTCAAGCCCATGTAGTGCCATAATTCTGGCCACCCCTTTTTGTTATTATGCCAGACACGCTATCATCGAGTTCCTGTGCCGAGAGTCGTTGGGCGTTGCTTATGGTTGCAATTGCTGGTTTATCTGGTCAAGGTTGTTTATATGGCCACAGTAATATACCTGGAATAGTGTTGAGTGCAGCTTCAAACAACAACCAAATTCAACACCGCATTCAAGAAGTTTCAAACTAGTTCCAACGACGAACTGAAAATAAGCGAGTTTAGACCTGGTAATCCAGTGAGAAAAGGGAAAGATCAACGCCATGAGGGATATTAGTCGAGTCAGCGACCACTCAATATGTTTTCGCCAAGTCTCGCGAAACACAAGGTGCCCTAAGTCATATTTCTTCCGTGGACTCGACTGAGATGCAAAATAGTTGCATGATAAGTTTGGAGGCGAGACAACTGAGCTTGTCTTCTATTTTGTATCTATCGTTCTAGTATTGGACAGAGGCAGCTTCTTTGCCTTGCAAGGACTCTTCTACGAAAATCCAAAATTTTGGTACTGGACGAGGCAACAGCAGCCGTTGACATGGAAACAGATGACCTTATCCAGCAGACCATCAGGTCGGAGTTCAAGGACTGCACGGTGCTGACCATCGCCCACAGACTCAACACAGTCATGGATTACGACAGGTCAGTAATATTGCAAACAATGACCCTCCACTGAATCAATCTGATACAGTTTGCGAGAATAATCCTGATAGTGTGTCATGTGTAATGTTTTGTTCAACAACAAAGTAATATTACATGCCAAATTACCATCTTGTCCAGAGACATGGGCAGTTGTGTGTAGTCGCAGGTTAACAGATTGGGAGCATATTATACCATCTGGAATGTTGTCAGTAAATAATAACTAACTATATAAGTATTGTTTTCATCTGACAAATTATATACGATTGCATATACTGTTCCCTATGAATGCTCAGTCAAACATGACTTTGATGGATGGTTTGGATATGAAAGGGTTAGGGTAGGGTATAAGCCTTAGGCTGAAGCCCTTTTAATTTATCTGAAGGATATATAAGGAACTGTCTCATTTAAGTTGACCAACTATTTTGGACGGATAATTAGAATATTCTTATTTTTTACAGAATATTGGTGCTGAACAAAGGGATTGTCGAGGCGTATGACACTCCAGAGAGACTACTGCAGGACACGAAGGGAATTTTTTATGCCCTCGCCAGACATGCTGGCATCGTTTGACGAAGAGTGAAAGAAGGAATAACAATATTCAGCAACTTCGATTTCCAAGAAACAACAATATTTCACATAGTATCATACAGTTGTAATAATTCTAAACTGAAATGTGTAATTCAACCTTGTTGATCATTAAAAGTTCAGATGTAATATAAACTCGGGGTCAAAAGAAAGTATAGGTCGGGTTTCAAATATGGATAAAATATCGAAAACAAAACATTTTTGTGTCTAAGAAATTTTAGCATATTATTCCTGGATGTTCGTCATTTAGACAGGCATGGTGGTATTCCCAACATTCAAGATAAAATAAGAACTTAAACACACGTAGGGTAAGGAAATTGACATTTCTCCAACATGTGAACTGGACGCATCTAATAACGTGTGTGAGCTCCCGCTGCATTAGTACACGCATCAACACGTCTTCTCATGGATGACGTCAAGCGTAGGATGACGTGATTTGGTCTTCGCAGCCATTCTTCTCTCAGTGCTTGTTCCATCTCTTGTCTGCTCTTTGGAACTTGAGAACGACGACGAATTCGTCTGCGAAGTTGATCCCACAGATGTTCTTTCGGATTCATAGCCGGGGAACATGCAGTCCAGGGAAGAACACTGACATTGTACTGATCATGATTTTGAACATCTTGTGTCACTCTGCGAGGATGGGGTCTGGCGTTATCGTTCTGAAGAATTATCCCCTTTGGCTGGTTCTGTAAGAAAGGGAGTGCGACTGGTTGCAAAACTTGATGCCTGCACTGACAGGCATTCAGATTGCCCTGAATTATCACTTAGCGCGTCTTCTCGTTGCCAAATGTCTCCCCATAAAATGACGCTTCTACCGCCGTATGGATGCACTTCTCGAACGCACTCCCGTGCCAAACGTTAACGTTCTCCCCGACGTCTGTAAACTCTCTGTCTACCGTCACGAAATAAACAAAGCCGACTTTGACAGTTTTTAACTTGCCATCGATGGACTTGTCCTGCCCAGCGTAGTCTGTCATGTCGACGCTGTTGAGTCACAGCCATGCTTCGGAAAGGACGATATGCTCGGAATCCTGTAGATCTTGGCTATTGACGTTGACGTGACGAATCTGTTTCGGAGATGACATTTCTGGTGTCCCCCGCCGTGATGTTGCTGGATTATTGCTAAAACCACACTCACACACTCACTTTTCCGGAGATATATCGTGCGAATATAGCGGTCTTCTTGAGCTGTTATGACACGTGGTCTACCACTTTGCGGTCTGTCTTGGGTCCCTCCCGTCTGCCTGTCGTAACAATTTCTCCACCGTCAGTGGGGTACATCCAAACGTTTTGGAAAATATGGACTTGCAGCCATTTGTGCCATACCAATTGCCCTCTCACTGTACATCGAAGTCAATCTGGCCATATTTTGAGTGTGCTTTTCTTAGATGTGATACTAAAGCTTCATTTAAGCCAATTTATACCCGATTTCAGCACGTGCATGTCCTGCTACGAGCGGAAAACATAGTTTACACAGTTTTCATAACGTCAGCTGTACGGTAACGCGTTTTGTGTTTTGTTGTTTTTTTATCGGTACTTGGACGATTCTAGTAAACCAGTTTACTGTCCATTAACTATTAAATGGTTATAACAAATGAAAAATATTAGCCTTTACTTTCTTTTGCCTCTTAGCTTAGTTCATCATTATTCATGACGGGATTTGTCTCGTAAATAACTCATTTAATATTTATTCTCGAAATTTCAAACTTATACTTTTAAGTTATTTGCCCTTGACTAAGCTTTTCCGCCATGTCTGCTGATGAATTTGAATTAAATTGTATGCCTACTGAGACTAAACGGAAAATGCTTGGTGAGAACAAGGCCTTACATAGAGAAATTGCCATCTTATTTTAGATTTATTTTGGTAACGAGATCTTTAGATAAGATTTGTGAGTAGAGATGACAGGCCAACATAATAGATCAGATGCTTCAGACCACTCATGAGAGTTAGAAATAGTCCCATTCGATATAATAACATGTCTTGGAAATACCGTTCCGACATGAAAGGATTCATGTGTTGCTCACCACTGTTACAATGTACGTAAAACAAACCATTCTCATGAACATGTAAAATTGCATTTCAGATAATGTTGAAGATGAGACTGAAGAGAAAATATACAAAAGTTTAATGCTTTGAACTTCCTAGTAACACAGTTGCATCCATAGATTAAAATGTATTTTGTAATGATTATTACTTGATTTGTTTGTTCGTAGATAACAATAGGTAAATTACTAGAACTTTCTAAAGTAGCACTTCGATACACACACGCCATCTTATGAATGGAGCTGCGATGTTTGTCAGATACGAATATGTCGAATGAACCAGACAGACTTGTCTTCTAGAATGAAGTGTTAAACAGTATCAAGGATGTATATTTTTAATAAAAATGTGAATTTGTCTTTTCTTTAATATTCTTTGGGTAATACTTTCAAGCCGATGTACATTCATGAGACCAAGAACATTGCAATTACATACAACAGGTATCAAACACATATACATAACTTTCTTCCACTCAAAAAACATACATTGCTCTTGTAATACACTTCAACTTCAGCTTCTTCCGCATTCCAAGAAATAAAATAGTATGTGAGGTGAGGTGAAATTAGGTTTAACGTCGCGTGCAAGATTATTGCACTTATATGGCGACGTGCATGCACGTGAGTGTGTGTGTGGCTGCTTGTACTAATCCGGACTGATGCCGATTTATAGTGCTAGCTCACTGAGATACCATGCCGCAGTTTAACATGAATACCCCACTCAGACACAGTATACTGAGCCGACTAGCCCTTTAATGCCGAGCGCCAGACAGGGTAACAACAAGTACCATCTCTTAACGTCTTTTGGTATGACGCGACCGGGGATCGAACCCCGGACCTTCCGCTCTCCGGGCGGACACTCTACCACTAAACCACGGAGGCGGGTATGTAAATACTCCATGGCCAACTTCTTTGATAGGCATTTAGAAGTTGGAGTACTAAGGATCAGAATTTATGGATGAACAACTTCTTTATTACAATTAAGAGCGACGTTTCGGTGTTGGTTCTAACACCGTTATCAAGCAAGTGATTTACAGAGTGTGGTTGGCAAGTATATATACAAGTAGGAGGCAATGTTCTTCTGTTTCATAAACACATGCTTATGAGAAGAGTGGGAATCATACAATGAGCCGCTTTCAGAGATTGCTTTATTAATAAACGGGCTTATCAAGTGACATCGTATCCCTACGGTGTGGTTCGTTGGTAATTCTATCACACAATAGTTCGCCTGGTCCAGATGTGTTGTATTGTACGCCAAACAGTATCATTGAGATTTTAATCAACGCCCACATACTGGCCATGACAGTACGCTTTTAATTTTACATGTTTAATATACACATTAACTGTCGTCTCTTTGCTTGTAAATCACGTATCACATATGGTTATGTATAACTTAACATACATTACTTGTCTGAACATTCTGGTCACATACATACATTTAAACATAGTCATTGAGTATTGATGGATAAACTCAAGCCGATTCATATATACTGAACAAAACACGTTAGGTTTCGGGAATATTTTTGGGGACATTTTTTGTAGTGAAGACTGAGCACAAAATTTCAAAACTATCCTAAAAAAGATCCGTGGTCCTCACCTGTTTTTATCTGGAAAAAAGATGAAGAGACCATTAGTGTTGCCCAAGTTTTCGTAATATCGAGCGCATGTGCCTTAACAAAAGAATTCCTCTCATGGTATCCTTTCGTGGTTAATTTGCAATTAATTTCTGTAAGGTAAGAACCATTCATTTAGCGCATATGCTAATAACACTGCTGATTTAGAAAACTCACGTGACTTTGTTTTAACACCGCGACCAAATGACAGCAACAACCAAAGCATATTCTGACAGACAAAACATTGATGTTACATTCATAAAAGTTTTGTTTAACCATGACGTGACAACAGTATTGTCCTCGGGGAATCTGGAGCAGAATAACCCCAGTACCCCATACCTGTGTCGAATGTCATCAGGCTGATCGTGTGTCATCGTGTCCTAACGAAACATGGCTGTTCACCATAGTTTGCCTGATGTCAACCACTGGTTCGCGAACACCTGGTATCATCACTATTTGATAGTGATTCATAAAAAAACACGTTTGGGAAGCTCATATTGTACAAGATACTATGGAATGATAGTGACGAATGCAAAGCAATATTCACTCACGCTTCCCTCCCCCCCCCCCCCGTTAACATTTTACCTGCGAACGATGACATAATATATTACGCCAAAGATATCTAAAGATAGACAGTACATAATTAGGACATGAGAGTGCTGACACAAACGCTGGCATACACAGCTGGCCATGTATATAGGGCAATTTTTAGGAAAGACACACGTGTTCTGTAACATCTGCACGATGGACAAGAGCCTAATCTGTTCTCTAACTGCACTTACATGTACATGTACTTCTAGATAAAGACATGGATTCGACCTGAATAATGGTGGTAATCGCAGCACCGACGAAGTTGAGATGTGTTTTCTTGATACTGAACACAGGTACTTTTGACCATATGTTAGATAACCTGTTTTTGATAAGAGATATTTAATTTGTTGGCATCTTCTTATCACGCTATTATCTCATGTAGGATTGGTGCAGATTTCACTCTGCTAAATCTTATCATCTGGAACAAACAGGTCATTTATTTTTGTCCTGATGATAGTCTACAGTCTTCAGTACAGAACCGTTGGCCACATTATCACCGAATGCCATGATGTTAAGACATATTGTTCTTGGGGTTCTCTTGTCCTCTCGTGCATTTGGTCTCATCGCACCTCTGACAAATTCCGGTGGGGAGACAGATATTGCTAACTTAGTGAGCCATGTGACCCTGCTGGAACAGTTGGTACAGAAACTTCAAGCAGACCAGACATCAACAACAACACAGATGGTGGCCACACAGTCTCAACTGAAGGTAGCACAATTAAGGGTCTTGAGGGTTAAAAGAACAGTGGGAGAGTATTTTGGTTATGAGGCGTTCACTCGTCACATCGAGGGCGCGGGTTCGATATCCCAAATGTGTCCATGTGAAGCCCAATTCTGGTGTATAAATGCAGCCCAGACCAATATTCTTCCAGCAAAGAGTTTTGATTATCAATATGTTTTGCTGAATTCCTCCCTTTGCATTTTTATATTGATTCCAATCCATTTTATGTATGTTCAAATCCTTATTTAATAAAATATAGGTTTATATGTTGATTCAAAATGGACATGCTCAAAGATAACCTTTGTGCGAAATTGGGGATAAGACATTAGTAGGCATCCTCATAGGCACAAATATTTTTTCTTGCTGATCTGTTTCTTTCAACTTTAGCTTGCAGATCATTTGATGGGTTCTGAATATCCAGTCAGTATAGGTCCTTATCATGTTCTATATGTGTCTCAGCCTTAAGGGTTGAGTGAAAAGAAATGTCCCTGTAAACATGATTACCCTTATCAGATGTATTTTATCCTGTGTGCCACACCCCCTGACTTTTTATCACCTTATGAAGTTTATTTTCACATACATGTTCTCCTGCAAACCTGTTTTTTCCCTTGTATGCAATCACAGTATCCAACTTCATCAGCTGGTGCATCACAAGGTCCTCAGTTGGTGTGTTTAGAAGTGCCCTTGCCCTGAAACAAGAATTGCAAAAAACAAAACTATTTGCAATAAAATAAAACACATTTGTCTTTCCTTGAATATTCTCTGATTTAGTGCTTGAAATTTTCAGTGTCATAAATTATTTTAAAAGAATTTCATACGTATTTTTCTTTGATAGACAAGTTTGATAGAATTATATCTTTAAAAACCCTCATTTCTGATGCGTCCATACTATTAAGTGTTTTGTTTTACTTTTAGGACAAAACATGAGCCGTCTACCTGAGTTACGTAAACGTATATACTTACGTAAATACTTGTTTTAAAATGTGAAAAGGAATTTCACTGATTAGAAATGTTTTTTTCCCAATCGTTCCACGAAATCCATTTGAATTGTGCTTTTGGAATGTAAAATTTCTTGTTTTTATCAAAGTGGTATGTGCTTTTGTACCCAAAATATTTTTGCATTACAGTTTTGTTTCAAAGACACACAATACTTTTTGTATGAAAAAGTAAATTTATTATCACTTTCTGTCAAAAACTACAATTAACTTACGGTTTACCAATTTACTGACCACTTGTTCAGTGACAAGAATGTATTACTTTCATATCACAATTAATCAATTTGACTGACTTCACTCAAGGACCACGTACAATTAGGTTAGTCATATTGTGAACTTGATGAAATGTTCAGCTCATTAATTGTTTGCAATGAACATGAAAAAAATTATATAATCATACAGACTTAGTTAAGTTTTCTTGGGTACAAAATCATCAAGTACTTGGGTACAATTTTGTTTTGGGTACAAAATCACTTAGGCCCTAAATTCCTCCAGTCGACGTGTACCTAGTTTCATCCGTTCTGAAGATTGGGGCAATGGTAGACCAATAACAATATCATGTTGTTATTATTATGGCATATCAATATGTTATATCGCTCTAAGCTGTTGTCGTTTTCAGAAAATACTTTTCAAATCATCAAGCGTGGAATCCTTTACGGTTTCGGATTTAGACTTACAAATTTGATGTTACGCACCGGCAGCAATCACGAATAAATATAAAAGCAAATAGGAGTGAAGACTGCTATCCAGATCAATAATTTTGTTTATGATAGCTTACCAACTTATTTCGCTTCGATGTGTCATGCGGTACATGCTACCAGTATCAGAAATGGTAGCTTAAATTGCAAGTATTTTGATTTTTTTTCGTAAACTGCATTATTTTTCTGTTGATTGGTTTACCTAGAATATATATCATTTCAGATTTTGCGTATCATCCAATATTTGTCATTATTTGCAGTGTATGTTGACTTTGTTCAACTAAACAAAGCGCGAGTTAGGCCACGCCCAAACGTGTCACTGACGTTTGTCGGCTTGTCAATATGTCTGAAAGTTTTTCAAATGAAATCATTGGCAAACTCTATAAAATTGAGATATATTTTACAAAGATTTATACATCCGTGTCAATAATTCTAGAAAATTTAGTTGGGTGTAACAAAATTACTGTAATAGTCTCAGAGGATCACTATGCATGTTGTATGAAAAATGATAAAATTATAAAGAAAATATTGGACTGCGCCAAAAGTCAACAATGGCCGCTTCTGGTAATTGTGTGCCAATAAATTTGGTCGAGACTTTCTTAACTCGCGATGTTTTCTTTTTGAGCTAAATAAACTACTGAAAGTTTTGATATTTTGCAAGCTGAGCATTTTGGCATACCATACTTAAAATATACGCAAAGCATACTCGTTAAACATTTATAGCGAGTTTCATTTGGCGATGTCCTTCTCGACTTTGCGCCTGTCGAATGGGTTCTACAGTACTATTGAGAGCATTTAGCATATGAAAATAATAGCACAATAAGCTTCAGAAACATCAATGATTTGATATTGCTGATACGTTACCAGCCTGAGCTGGAAAAAGAAGAGACCAGGTACACAGCCTTATTTGTTTCATATTTAGATGTACGCATAAAGATGCAAAATGACAAAACACTATCTGTGGGACTAAATGACAAGAAAGATGACTTCAACATTTCAATAGACAACTTTCCCTTTATATCAAGCAATATTCCAGCAGCTCCAGACTTATGGTAGATATTTCCAAAATTAACGCATCAGAGACAACTGATATCTGATGCAATTTCCAATTTTGACTTGAATAAATGTTCCCGTGTTCTTTTTCCAGGCGAATAATCACTTTGCCTTATCATGTGTATGGCGGGTGCCACAGGACGGGCTGACCTAAATGGGCCTGGTGTCACTACTGTTTGATAGGGATTCATAAACACTTGCTTATGATATAGTCGGAATCTTCAATAGACTAACATTGGTGTTTAAACTTGAAAATTGTGTGATAGCATACGCAAAAGGCATGGATTGTGGTCGTGCTATCAAACACCAGTTGGGTTCCAATAAGAGGTCCGTCCAACTTATTATCATTGTCTCTTGCCATTGATATTAATGAAAAGTATTTATGATACATTGTATTGATTTTATCAGAGTGTAATTAATATATTATTAAAATCTAAAGTAGTTTGTCCGATATGTTTACCCATTGTCAGGATACATGAATAATCTACTTGAAAATCCCTCTGTAAAGTAAGACAGTCACTCTAATGGTAGTGTACGTACGTTTCGTCACAGGGAGCAACTGCTGACCTGAACGCCGTCAAAACAGAGCTCCACGCAGCACAAGCAGAGCTGGGCGTAGTCAAGTTTCAACTGAGTAAACTGCCCACGTCCATCGAGCTGAATGACCTTGTGACTAAACTCCACAGCACCGCCAGTGCCTTAAATGTCACGAATCAGGACCTTGCTTCTGTCAAACAAACAGTTTCCAGCATAGCACAAAACAATGAAGGTAATATTAAATATGATACTAGTGGAGCTTGCATTAGCATATATATTATTATTATTTGATGTGTGTGTTTGGAAATGATTTTTCTTACCAACTGTCAACTACACGAATTCTAACCTGAGTATCGTAATATCATTATGTTACACATACGAAAGTGAAACTGTCTTTGTTATCATCATAAGTGGTTATATTTAGTTAAGATGTATTGTTTACATTGGAAACTGTGTCGGGAAATAGAGTCAGGATGGCATGGATTTTGGTGTTCATACAACTATGGAAGCAAAAGTCTCTGTATATCTATACGTCAATATTGTGTCTGCTTTGCGTCACACTCGCTTAACACGGTCCAGCACTGATGTGGAATCCATATTGGAATTGGGTTTACTAGTTTCACTCTTTCACTTGACCATCACATAACATAAAACAATGTGACTCTCATGTGTTTTTTGTTTGATGACATTTATATATTTCGTTTCTATTATCCACAAAATAGTAAATTTCACCTATTTGCGAACACGTTCTTATGATGGAGTGGGAATCGTACAATGTCCTCTGCTGTAAACAGAGGTTCCTATAATTACAGAAAGAGCTTTGTGGCTTTTATTCGGTCGTCATTTTACACGGACTATAGCTACATGCGGGCGGATCTGTCGGTATGCGGTTTACCGTGAAATCATCAAATAGCAATACTCCATTGCTACGTGTTATGTACTTTAAGGTAACGAAATGAAGCGGAATGTACTTCCTCAATGAAGGTTCTATGGCCCATTGAATAGTTTACTGCACATGTGTTTCGTATGTGCTTCTATATGTTTTATCACATGAATATATTTAACCACAGGAACAGCAAAGTGGTGTATTGCTTTTTAGTTGAATTCTGTCAGTGTCTATTCCAGGGGTCTGATATTATTGTCTATATCAACTCACTCACGTACTTGCGCACTCATGCACCCACTCCTCCAAAAACCCAACCACCAAATACTTATTTGGTTTGCAGGGGATGTCTGTATTCTGGTGTTTCCAAAGATAATAAACTTTTCTTAACATCCACCAATGGTTGTAAGAACTCCCTGCCGAACACCACAGCAATGGAGACTCAATCCCGAAACAGTGACGTGGCAACTTAATATTGGTTGAGAGTTTTTTGTAAGCATTAACGGGAACCCACATTAGGATGTGACTCCATCCAACTTAAGTATGAGTGTGGTTGTTTGTGGATTTGAGTTGAATTTTGTATACCCACACGCCTATGTTCATTGCGTACCACCGGGCTTGTCATGTTTGGGATATGAAGGCTTCAGTTTTGTGTGTTATCTCTAATTTGCTGAAGGGCATTGGAAATAGTTTTCTGCTTTCGTATTCACCTCATCTCACCTCACAAATGTGGCCTATACAAGGTCACTCACAAGTAGTATTAATCAAGCATTCTCTCTTTTCTTCAGTCGCTGCATACGAAGTTCGACTGTCTGCCCAGATTAGACCTGCATTAAACACTGTCATCAAGTTCGACGATGTTCAGTACAACCACGGGGGTGGCTTCAACGCGACGACAGGCGTCTTCACTGCTCCCCTCGCCGGGACATACATACTGTGGGCCAACATGATAGCATATGACTACTCCGACTCTCTGGGCATCTCGCTGTACAAGGGGTCGGAAAGGATCGCCCGAGCATGGGGCGAGAACCCCTCGTCTGAGAAGAATGAAGATGACACCTTGATCCTGACGGTGGTGTATCTGGATTTGGGGGACCAGACATGGTACATTAGAGACGCGGGAACGGCACGGATCGAGGGAGACTACTCCAGCTACGGCGGGGCACTTCTACAGGCCCACAGTTAGAATCTCATCAGATTTCCACTGTTGTCTGAAGGCACGTGGGCCCCTGTCATTGTAAAACTGAAAAGTGCGAAGTATATCATCGTGATGCAATTACTAACCCGATCCCCCATAACCAGTAAGAGACCCGCCAATTAGCGATACTTGCGAAGCAATATATTCTTAGTGTAACACACTAACCTATCTCAAGTGAAATACAAGTTATTCAACTTTAGTGCTTCATTATCTCCAAGTACCTATAAATGTCTTCATAGCTTTTGAGATTGTTTAGATTACAAATGTTCTGCATATTCATTTTAATATAGATCTGGCTCCGTATTATATCTGATACTGACGACAATAACATATATTTAGGCACCTTATATTCTCGTGAAGCAATAGATAAATCCACACACAGTTGCGGGATGGTTCTTAGATTCGCTGATGGTTTGATAAGTTACATAATACGGCACTCAGTGATGAACGTATTATCTATGTTCATAAGTAACAAAGCTCTGTAAATCAAATATCGCCCCAGAAAGTCAATCTCAGTGTGAACTCCAGCAGGATCGATGATACATAAGCTCGAACAATATGTAATATTATCATGCCTCAAGTCGAGATTGACCAATCGGAGAACATAACTACTGACCCAATATGAGCTCGAATACCCTCAATAATAATCTAAGATGGTTGTTACTGACCTAACATGAGCTGTAAACCGTCAATAACAGCCATCTTGGATTTGGATTGGATACTTCACATGAAATGCTTGTACAGAAATTCGCTATTCGACACAGTTTTGTGGTTTGATATTAATTGTGATGTGCAAGGATATTAATCAAAACAATAAAAAAATTATTGTTATTTTTTTCAATGTACATAGAACCAGTACTGATGAGTCACCGCAAAGAATATATTCGTGTGGAGACAGTCACCCTTTTTATACTATACAACATGAAACCAACATGAAGGTTTTTGTATTGTCCTGCGGATGTCACAAACAATGATAGTGTACTTGTTGGGACTTTTATGCTTGTCTCAAGAGATGATTAAAGAGATCTGGTGGTTACCACGAGCGATGGTGCTTGATGTCCAGTACATACTATTCTTCATATACATTCATATTAACAAGAAGTCGGCTAACTTATGGGTTGTGGCGGTATTTGTCATGAGAGATGGTACTTGTTGTTAGCGTGGCGTTAAGGAACTAACACAAGAACAGGTCGGCTCGTAGTCAGTGTACTGTGTCAGAGTGAGGTATTTGCGTTTAAACGTGGCATGGTTTCTCATCGGACAAGCACGATATTATCGGCATTAGTCCGGACTAGTACAAGCGGACACACACACACACACACACACACACACACACACACACACACACACACACACACACACACACACACAAGCACACCTACGTGCGTACATGCACTTCGCTAAATCTAAGTGCAACATTCTTGGAGGCGACGTTAAACCTCACCGCACCTCACCTCACCTCACCTTTATGGGGAACGTTACTTGGAATCAATTATATTTTCAAACTGATTAATGTACCCGAAATCAGTTATTTAAAATATTCGTCAAACATATCTTCCACACTAAAACCATATTATGTACGTAATGTCCTCCTCGTTCGTAAGCTTATGTCACATTCCGAGGAATAGAACAGTATGTAGGCCACTTTATGTCCACTTCCTTTGTGGACATAACAATTCATCTTTAATACTGGATTACAATGATAAAAGAAAATCCGCACAAAGCGAGAGATATTACTGGGAACAGCAAATATACAACCCCTGTTGCTCTGTCTCAAAGAATAACCATAATCCTTAATACGATCAAAGAAGGGCATTCTTTATATTCACAGAAAGTATGGAATTAATACCAAGTTGATTTTCAAAAACACAAAGAAATTGCTTGAATTTCTGTAATGTCAGAAAATATCCAAGTTCAATTATGTCAAAATACTTGATGTTCCAACTTGCACACACACATAGCATTTCCAAGCGGAATTGATCACTAAATGTGGTGACTTTAGGTACAGTTACATATCTATCTTCAGAGGTTCAGGACAAATTGTCAAAAATGACAGCAGATGTCATCTGAAATTTCCTAGAAAAACAGTTTCGAAAATAAAGATAGACCTCATAGATAACATATCTAGATCTGTTAGATTTGAAGATAATTATTTTGGACATGAAGTATGCACCCTCACGATCAAGGGCAAAGATTGTGCGTCCCTCCTCGGTGATCTTTTTCTTTATGCATACATCTTGGAAAAATAAAAAAGGAGAACTTCGTCATGAAGTGTAACTTACGAGTGCTTTAGATATATAAAGCGATGATCTTCTATCGTTCAATATTAAATTTTCTTCTTATGATTCACCATCCTGAGCTAAAAGTAAAAGAGACCAGTGAAGCTGCCTCATCTGTTTCATATTTAGATCAATGCATAAAAGTTTAGAGTGACAAAACAAATCTCCACAAGAGATGACTTCCAAAAGTCAGCTTTCTCTTTATGTGGACTATATACAAGCAGATCCAGCCTTTGGTGTCTACGTTTCACAACTTATGAGGTACAATCGAGCATGATCTTTCTCTGAAGATATATTTTAAAGAGACTCTTGCTCCAAATTGTTGATCAGCGTTACAACATTGAAGCCCTTTAGCAAAAGCTTTCAAAATGTTTAATGGAAGACATGTGGATGATCATGAAAATGATAAATATTACTTATACATCGGTAATAAATAAAACCTTATATAAAAACTAATAATTACGAATAAATTAACTAATGATACATCTCAATTTTTTCAGATCCTTTTACAACATTTCAGGGCCAAAAATACAAATGATTAATCAATTTGAAATCCCTCTGTAATGTAAACCAGTGGAAGTAGTGTAAGTTTCATTAGTTCAGAGGGAACGAAAAATTACTGATGAGCTGACTGCCGTCGAAACAGAGATTCACGTAGCACAAACAGGGCTGGGCGTAGTCAAGTATCAACTCACGAAACTGTCCACGTCCATTGAGCTGAATGAACTTGTGGCTTAACTCCACTGCACTGCAAATGCCTTAAATGCAACTAATCAGGACCTTTCTTCTGTCCAACTGCTTCAAGCACAGCACAAAACAATGAAGATAATATTTGATAAAATAACAGTGGGACATGCATGAGCATAGATATTAACACATTCAAGTATGTGTATAATGGTTTTTCAAACCAACTGTCAACTGCTCGAATTCTAACGTGAGTATCGTAACATTAGCATATTATACACGTGAATGCAAAACTGTATTTGTTATCATCATCAGTCTTGATATGTAGTTGAGATATAGTGTTAAAGCCCCACCCTGACTATAAATAGCCCGCATGGTGGCGGTGTTTCAGTTTCGAACAATAACTGACAATGTGAACATAACCGAGCGTCGGGAGAAGCTGTTTCCCAAAGAAGATCACCATTGACCGTCAAACTTCGAATAAATTTGAATGACAGACCCTGGATACCACAAATGGCTCCATATCTAGATATAATTTAATAAATTTTCTGTAGTTTTATCATATAAAATCGAATCGATCGTGTTTGAGGTCTGCATCAATGGGCGGAGTGGGCGGAGCTTATTTACGGTTGCGCTTTTAATAGCAAAGCACATGGTCATGTGTTCATGTGACACATTCAATGTATCTGTGGTCAAAGTGTATTGTTTTGTATATTTTTACGGCAGAACAGCAGCAGAACAACAGTTTCGGTTAATGTAACAGTAACGATACATAAATACGAAATTGACGACAAGAATCTTTCATTTACGTCCGAAAATTACAGATATTTGTTTAGTTTTGGTCATTTGGATTCTACAGTTATATATGAATATCCTTGATGTTTTGACTTTCATTAGGCCTATCCAGATAATATTGTACTTACGATAAACGAAAACTCCAATACACATATTCCAAGACAACTTAGTTATGGATTTCCTCCCTTTCACTTGTCCCATGTATTTTTAGTTCGGGGGATTGGGACACACTTTGCACACAAGTTTTAAAATACAATCTGGGATCCCTTTCCTGTTTTGTCCTCACCGATCCTTCATCTGCTGCAACGTTTAATATCCGTTTCTTCAAGTCCGAGTATCTACGATCTCTCCCAAAACATCAGTCCTGAAAAATTGACAGCACTGTTTTCGAGTTGACGAATTTATGTAACATGGTAGTCACACCAGTACCTAACTGCAATTGCCTGTGCTGTGTCACGCATGGTTGACAAAAGAAGTGTGAACATACATATTCGGCTTCATCTTGTTCCACAATGAAATCTCGCTGTGACATTGATTCACTAATCCCAAGAATCGGCACTGAATTTGTCAAAGTTTCTGTTGCACTTGCAAAGGTGGGAAGAGGGGCGCCATCTTGTCGATTCGAGTTGACGGTCGAGATGTCATCATCTTGAATTGAAACTTTCTCCACGATAAAGTCACCAATGTCATAATCTAAATGACCAATGGCTCCCTGATCATCTCGAACAACTCCCTTCAAATTAAGTGTCACATTAAAATGTTTTGTTGCTCATATTGAAGACAAGTTAACTTGCGAAGTTCCTGACAGTTGTAAGCGGATGCGTTCATGGGGCGTGGATGCTAGAAGATCGGGTGGTCAGAAAGGGGGAAAACAAAAAGTTTTAGAAAGTAATAAAAGAAATCCGCAGTGCAATAAAAAAGTACCATGTACAGGATGTTTTTTAATAATAGTATTCACGATAACATTTCTTTTCCTAAAAATGCAAATTAATTTATTAATTCATCCCAATGTCGTAACCCTGAATACGTGGTGGGTATTTGGAAGGAATCTTGTGATGACGCCGTGAATGAAGCCGTGTGTATTACATTGTTGAATTCAACTGACCAGGAAGATTGTCGAGGCATTGACGTTATGACAGATGCTCGTCATGGATGGAGAAGAAAATGCATCTGAGAGAAACATTAATTGTTGTTTTAAGCTTCGAGACAAAACACGTCTTCATGCCGAAGTAGTTTACAAGAGAGGATGATCTGTGTAACCCATTTTCAGTTGAAATCCATTTTCACGCACATGCCAGAATTAATGTGAACAAATATTTATCTGAGATCTTTTTGAAGTATGTGAGGCTGTTCGTATTTTAATATTTTTATCTCCATTCCGACTTGAAATGATAAAAAGTTTTTGTGTCTCAATTTTGCTGCCGCTGTGGAAAATTGCACACTGAACTTATAACAGAAATGCTACTAGATCTACCATTGCACCGTCATTAAAGAACCAGGTCAACTTTATCTTTCTTCAGTTGTTTATTAAAAATGCATTTCCGAAGCAAAGCGAATCGATCTACATCATAAATTAATTCATAGACTAGATTCTAGTACCAATTGTTTAACCTTTGTTTTAAATGTCATGAAATAACTTACACAATTACTGAAAGACATTTTTTTAAATGTAATATATTTTATTTCGTCCGCCCGCTCTCTGGTTAGTTGAGGCTTGAGGGGAGAAACACATACAAAAAAATATGGATGGCCATATTCAAATGACACTTGGCATGCCAATCAACAGGGAATCTGGGCCACTGGGACCCGCCAAATTTCACGGATCAAGTTGCTTCGGAATGAGGAGCTTTCGGACAAGTGTCACCTTGCCAAAACACATTGCTACTGGGCAATGAAAAGACAAAAAAAGCTGAAACATTGGATCAGGTTAGTACAATTAATTAGTTGTTATTTAAGGACTGAAGTAGTATTTGTTCATGTTCCATGATGCGAGATTCATGATGAAGTAATCGTACCAAAACAATTTAAATTGAAACAATTAGTTAAAGTGAACTTTATTGAGACGGAAAGTTT